TCCCTTTCCTAAATTCAAATAATTTTCTGTAAGTGCCAGATAACTTTCTCTCTGTCCCTATTTTGACAAACATCTATTATTTTTGTCAGGGAACCTTTTTAATTCATATGATTTTATTGAACAGAATAAACTTTTAATATGGCGTCTGCAAATAGAAAAAAAATTATGCTAGACTTGGTCAAGCTGCTCAAAGTAAACTTCAAAATATTTTACTCGAGCTTTTCCTCATCAAAGAACCTCCGAATTTACTAAATGGTCACGTGATGCAAAACCAACAACTCCAAATAAGATTAAGAACTGAGGAGAAATTGAAAATACAGAGAGTTGTCATTGGTGGATATAACGGGCTTGATATACCTTTAATGTACTCATTGACGCGGTAGGTGTAGTGTCCGGCTGGAATCGTGTTTTTTCGAGTGATTTGATCGGGGTTATTCGAGTGTGACCACATTTTTTCGAGTGAATATGATCAAAAAGTAAACAAACGAATTAGCAGTTTATATGTGCACCTGCAAGGAAATAGCTGTTAGACTTGAGAGACATCTCCAGACCTGTTGTATGGATATTGAAATTGATCAAATGTACCTTGATAATCTACAGTACGATTCTTAAAATGAGAAATGTAAGTGTTGAGAACATACCATATTTGTGTATGAAAAATGTTTCGACTAAGCTACCCTAGTTTTCTGATGTTTTTAGATTTCATTATCTTTTATTTAGATTTTAGTTTTTCAGAATTTCTAAGCTTCAACCAGACCATTTTGCAGTTTATCTCCAATTATATACATTCAAAGTAATAAGTGACATTTAAAAGTCAGAATAATAAGAATATATAGACCTTTTTAATAATCGAGGCGTTATTAAGAGAGAGTTTGAATGTTTATAAATATAGACACCAATACCATTCTTATATTATTATCCGATTATCATATATTAGATTCTTCGTACTACTTACCCTTGTTTTACATGTTGCTTTTTGTCCTCTTTTGCGTCGACATTATTGTTTTCGTACATTTTCCATTACATTGATCAAGATGATAAGGAGATAGTTGTCACCAATCAAGCGCAACCAGCACATGTGTATATCATAGGTTTGCATTATTATACTTATAGTAAGTGGTGTTCAAATTCAATTTATTATTTATCATTTCAGTTGGCAAAAAGAAATTGAAGAAGAAAACGTATATACGCATGGAAACAATTAAAAGGAAACAAGGGAAGTGCATTTTGAATTTTCGGTAACAAATCTCAATGTTGTCAACTTTATGACTATGAAATGTAATCTGCAAGATTGGTTCTAGTGTTTATTCAGGATATGTATGATATACCGGAGACTTTAGATATTGATGATGGAAGACTTCAATTTGGCAGAAACGATCCTACTTTCTTCATAGTTTACCATGACAAAACGTTAACACCTTACCAGCATAGATTAATGAGGAATGATAATCAGAAACACATGTATGCTACAAACGAATCAATTAAAGCTCTGACAGGTGGTGTAATAGAATTTTCCTGGATTATAGGGAACTACTTAGATATAAGAAGATGTAGTATGAGTGCCAATGAGACAACTCTCCATCCAAGTCAAAATTTGTAAAAGTAAACCATTATAGGTTAAAGTACGGTCTTCAACACGGAGCCTTGGCTCACACCGAACAGCAAGCTATAAAGGGCCCCAAAAATTACTAGTGTAAAACCATTCAAACGGGAAAACCAACGGCCTAATCTATATAAAAAACGAGAAACGAGAAACACTTATGAACCACATCAACAAACGACAACTACTGAATATCAGATTCCTGACTTAGGACAGGTGCAAACAATTGCAGCAGGTTTAAACGTTTTAATGGTACCAAACCTTCATCCTTATCTGAAACAATAGTGTAACATCACAACATGGAAAGACACACTATAAAATATCAATTGAAATGGCTTATATCAATCAAAAGAAATATTAACATCAGTGAACATACACTGAACAAAACAATTTGATCTATAATACAATGTAAATACAAAATAAATAAACTAAAACTACTTGCAAGATTATATTGATTTCAAAACTTAATGATTTATATTCGCCTACTCTGTTGTTAAACTGTTTGATAATTATCGCAAAACCGAAAACAGAATAAACTTGTGATAATAGAAAAATGCATTTGCTTTGGAAGTTTTCCATATCCAGTCGATTTTGAAGTATTTGAAATATGGTTTTTTTTTTCGTTTTATCGTCCATTTGGTATTTAATCAAGCAAATATACACTTGCAAAACTAAATGCCACAAAGGAGCCTGTATCCCTCACCTTTATATATATCTACATCTGATTGACGGACTTTGTAGCTGAAAAAGGCCTTACAAATGCACCTTTCAAACTATATTTAAATAAACTTTGATACAGCTATTCCCCGCTTTTTTTTGGTTTGTATACATTTATCAAATAAAGCCGTTGACCTGTGAAGCACCCAAACTGAAGGCAATTTTTATGAACCAGGAATAGAGACAATTAGAGGAGATTTTTTACAATTTACCAAAATCAGAGATTGCCTCTTACAGCCATGATTTTGATCAAATCAAAACAAAAATGACGATCGATTGTTAAGGACCTCCGATACATGATTTTTGCCATGTTTGGTTAAATTTTACATGTAGTTTCAGAAATGATGAACGTTTTAGTTTCAATCAGGTATCACTTTAAGGGCATACGATACAGTTTTGATCCCATATTGAAATTTTGATGAAAATTTGCATATAAGCTATTTTTTACCTGATTAAATCAAATATGTAATAAAAAATATACCATCATGTGCTACTTTTTGAGTAAATTGAGGTTGAAATTTCAGATATTTCCTCAAAATTCGGATTTGTGGACGTATTTTTCCTTTCGACAGAAATACATAACTTTTTTGTTTAAAAAGATAAACACAAGCTTTTTTTTGTTAAATTATTTGTAATTTCTTTTTTATATAAATGTTCTATAAATTTGTACATTTTATTTTTACAATTAACTTTTATCAAATGTTTATGAATGTAGAAAAATAACGTCTTTTTTTTGCTGTATATTTATGAAATTTAAAAAAATTGCACTATTGACTTATTCATGAAAATTGGTATACATAATCTTCATACGTAATCAAACCAAATGTCACTTTAAAAAAGAGGGGTCCATGAACTCGTTTTCAAGTTAAATCAGTTTGAATGATAAAAATCAGTCGAAAACTGCATCTTTTCCCGATAAGTCACAGTTTGACGTCGCGAAAATAACAATTTACGTTAGCAACGTCATTACCTCCCCTGTAACTGTATCGTATGCCCTAAAACTGTGAGCCAACATTGTCACCCAATCAGTATCATATGTCTTTAGGTTAAATAAGCTAAAACAAAAGCAATCAAAGTGATCGAAATCACTGATGGATAGGTTGGAACAGTTGTGAGCATTAAAGTTCAAAAACATATGTTAGTCTCCTATTGAGGTATGGTGGTGGCAAAATAAATACACTTAATATGGCACTATTGCATATAGTTGCATTACAGGGGCCAGTCGATGAAGATACTTGAAATGATGATGTATTTCTCCCAAATATTTACCTGTACATCGCTTTTCTTTATTTTTTGTTTGTCTGTTTGGTTACCAGTACCAAACTAGCCAGCAAATTGACAAAACTAATGACATACATACTCGAATGAACTGCTCTAACGATAAAACCCAACTTTTCACAGTTCATTTGTGTATAATTACATAGATGTGATAAGTATTGGGCAATATATTACCGTGTGCAAAGATAAAGTGCTTAACACAGTTACTTCCTGCTTGTTCATGCTGTTGACCTAAGAAAGAATTTGAACAATAGACCAAATCTGTCCAAAAAAAGAATACAAATCAGAGCTTTCATGGATTGATCTTCATCATATATTTCCTCTTTATGAAGGTAATATATTCCAAAATAGAAACAAGGACCAATAAGATTAAATGTATTAGTCTTAGACGGAATGGTTGTCTACAAAATAACATCCTGTGACAGTCTCAAACTGGAACGTGAAAGGTTCAGCTCTGTACCCCTGAATAAACAGGCTTTCTTTATACAATAATAGGTTTCTATGGGAATTTAAAATCCTGCAATGTAGTAATACAGAATGAAAGTGATTGTTTTTCTTGTTTTTAAAAACGAATTACAAAAGATGACAAAAAAATCTAAATAAATCGAACGTAAGAAATAATCAAGCTACTGTTTGCTACACAACTTAAGTTTGCTATACGCTTTTAGATTAATGAATAAACTTATTCAGATTAAAATAAAACTGTTAACACAGAGATATGTCTCACCTTTTTAGAACTTTATCATTCTAAAGCAGACTAAAATGTCATATTAGAAAAGCTGTCATTTTGATTTGATGAAGCAAAACCATTCTAGAAATCCAACCAGTTTCTTGATTGAAAAGTGTACAAATACATGTAAACTTACTTTTAAAATAATTTATTGAAAAAATGCCAGTTGTGCGACAGAAATGTCTTTGTTGATCTCAGGCCTGGCTCAAAATACAATTGAAGTTGCAGGTTTCATGGTAACATCACACATGTGCATCCTATGTTTTACTAAGTATTAAAAGACAATTTTGATTGCAAAGCGAAAGAAGAGCATCATACCAGAATTAATAGTAATCTTTGTTTGGTAAATGTAAATTTGAAACTTAAACTGAACATTATTTGATAAAAACATCAAATTCAAATTCAAATGAAATTGTCAAGCAAATTTAGTGACTTTCTGACATTGACACATATTTACCTCATTTCATGTACTGAATACAATTGCTATTGCTTTCTGAAGAGTGGCAATAATGCAACTATTTACAATAGTGATATATTACAGTGTTTCGGATTCATCATATCTCAATTGAAGACTAAAATATAGGTTGAAATTATGGAAACAGTTCTACCAATATCTTAGTCCTTTAATCACTTTGACTAATGTCTTTAATTAAGTTTATATAAATGTCAAACAAGTTTTTTTAAGAATTTATTTTATTGTATCATGTTTCAAACAAAATACCACATCATACAAATATTTTAACAAGTATAAAAATAAATAATATTTAACAGTAGAATAAATTGAATATAAAACTTGCCACACTTCATTAGTTCCATTTCATATTTAAAATATCACAGACAGAATAAATTGGACGGAAAACTTTCAGCAGTATATCATTAAATAATGAGCCAATTTGTTCATAAAAAAAATCATTTGATGCAAATATAATAACTGTTAGAAAATATGTGTTGAAGAAATCAAAATTGAATCAGATTAATACAAAATAATTTGAAACAAGCTTTCTGAAAAATATATTAAAGTTCATTAAATTTCTATAGAGATGGAATATTAGTGACAAATGATTTTTCATGTATCGGCTTAAAAATCACAGAAAAAAAATATCACATATATTGGTTTCAGTTTCATTTCCCCAAACTTTTATCATAATTGTTATCTCAAAAATATTTTTTTTAGAAAATTAATAAAGATATAAAGGTGTTCTTCATTTAAAAATGTAAAAAAGAAAAAAGGAAAACCACCATTGCATATTCAATGCCATCCCCTTTTATTACCTGGGCAAAAAATTGAAGAAAAAAATCCCTGTCATTTATTTTACAACTGAATGATGAATGGTTGCCTAAATTGACAGTTCCTGATAACAGTCAGCTGGATCTGTTCTAAATAGAAAAATGGATTCAATGCAAAAATCTATCAATCAAATTATTGTAAAAGATTTGTTTAAGCAATTGTACAGTTGGTATAATTAATTGCCATCAAATTTAAACAACAACAAATAGTCATTTCAAAGCAGTTCATACACATTAATATATAGTCTATTTCAGCATTATGTTTTAGATTCTTCCATCCTACTTTGAATTTCTATAGCATATCTATAGTCCTCTATGGCTTGTTTCTGATTGCCAAGTTTTCCTCGTACGTCTGCTCGCCGTTTCAATACTAATGGATCATCTGGTTTTAAAGACAAAGCTGAAAATAGAAAGATGATAAGTTTTTACTTATAACAAATGATTAGCAACTGAGAAAAATTACACTGAAAAAAAACAATGTTAATATAACCATGCTTAACCTTAAGTGATCATGTCTTGATTTTTTAGCATAATCTTTATTAAAGACTAAGACTCATGCCACAATATAGTTTGACAATCATGTATCAGAAGAAAAACTTATGCATGTTAAAATTTTATTCCTGAGGAAAGATGCTTAAGGAGTTATTTTTTTTTTTGTTCCATTACAAATGAAAGAACCTTAGTGAGCGCGCTCACATACCCCACGTCCCCACATTGTCATTGGAGAAATAAAATAAGTGTAAGAAAAAAAAATTGTATCAGAAAAAAAAATTGAATCATAATTTCCTGTCAATATGCACATCTACATAGTATGTCCTTATTATCTACACAGTTTCATGAAATTCTGTTGTGTGGTTTGAGAGGAGTTGCGATGACAAAAGGTTGCAGTAGTATATTGGGCAAATAAGTTCAAAGGGGCGTTACTCCTGGAAAAAAAATTGAATCGTAATTTCCTGTCGATATGCACATCTACGTAGTTTGTCCTTATTATCTGAAAAGGTTTCATGAAATTCTGTTGTGTGGTTTGAGAGGAGTTGCGATGACAAAAGGTTGCAGTAGTATATTGGGCAAATAAGTTCAAAGGGGCGTAACTCCTGGAAAAAAAATTGAATCGTAATTTCCTGTCGATATGCACATCTACGTAGTATGTCCTTATTATCTGAAAAGGTTTCCTGAAATTCTGTTGTGTGGTTTGAGAGGAGTTGCGATGGCAAACTGTTGTAGTAGTACATTAAAGTAAATAAGTTCAAAGGGGCGTAACTCCTAGAAAAAGAATTGAATTGTAATTTCCTGTCGATATGCACAACTACATAGTATGTCCTTATTATCTAAAAAGGTTTCGTGAAATTCTGAAACAGGACTGACGGACTGACGGACTGACGGACGGACCGATGGGTCAAAAACATTATACCCTCCGCAACTCGTTGTGTGGGGTATAATAAGGGTAAAGCACAAGATCAGTTCATCTTTAAAAAAAATATATAGCTGATGTTAAGTTCCAATTTTCTTTATAACTTGATATTTCTTTTGGAAATTTGATTGTGGTATAAAGTGTTGACAAAAGCACACTTCATACTTAATATGTTATCATTAAAAGGGTCTAAATCCATGGATGTTGCCCCATGTGATGGAATCTTTGTGAAACATCTAGTTTATGTTATTATATAACTGTAAAGTGGTGAAAGGGGTAATGTAGACTAAAAACTAAATTTGAAAGGTCCAAAACTCATACCAAGAGATACAGTTTGGTATGATGAAATTCACTGTACAAGCAATACAGTCTGACAAAAGTTTTTTTTGTGGCTCAAATATAAAACAGGCATCTAATTTTCATTCACTTCTGGGTTTTTTTCCCAGTCCAAAAATTTAAGGAATTAGATCATCTTTAATTTACAATAAAATACTAAAAGTTTTTCCATGACAGGTTTTTGGTAAATTTTCAAACAGTTTGCTGTCCATGTTTTAATATTTATATTATGCTCTCTTACCTTTAGAATAGTCTGTCTCAGCCTTATCAAAATGACCCATTGAAGCATAAAGGTTTCCTCTGTTGAAGTATATATGTGCAGTGTATGGACTAAGCTTGATAGCTGCCTTGAAATCTTCTAATGCACCCTGAGCATCTCTCATCATAACCTGTAAAATAGTGAAATAAAGACCAATATTAAAGTAAATCAATGGACCATGTTTTAAGAATTGATAATAGATTGCTCCTAAATGATGTACTGTAGTTTCATCAAAATTGTAACGGGAGGGGAAGGGTATTTTTCAAATTCAATAAACATACAAAACTTATTATTAAAAATAAAGTGACAAGGCATCTTATAGTGAACTAGTAGATATTGTAAAGGAACATATTGAAGACACAGATTTTAACTTGCTACTTATCTTAATACCCTTTGCATATTTACAAAGTCTTCTTTTAAATCATGAAATAAAAAATCCTTGCAATTGACAAATTTTGTTTTCTAAATAATTCACCATGAAAAGTGGTAAAATTGAGTTATCAACTTCAATAGATTTTTTGTAGTAATTAAACAATATTTTTTTAAAACGTCTTCAAAAAAAGGTTTAATTACTACAGTAATGTAATATGTGTTCCCCATTGGAAGTTCAAACAAGAACTAAATAGATTTATTAAAGTCATGCAGAACAATTGGAAAACTTACCCTTGTTATAGCTCTGTTTAATAATGCTGACTCATCTTTTCTATTGTGATCTAATGCCTTACTGTAATATTCATATGCCTGAAAGAAATATAGTTATACATTTATTATACGCAATTCAGTTTCAGAAAATAGTTGATAGCTTACATAAAAAGATAACAAAGTTGTGTACATTAATCATACCAAAAATATTATCTAAAAAGATGAAAATTAACCAAAAAGTGTTTATGTAGAGATGGTGCAATATTTCGTGTTAACATTGTATTGAGTTTCCCATGATATTTTAGGAATCCTTTTTTTTTAAATGAAACTTCATCTTCATTACTAAAATTATGTTACCTGTTTGAAATGCCTAGTGTGGAAGTACACATTAGCAGCATTGAAGTATGCCAGGGAGTATGATTTGTCTAACTTCAGAGCTTGCTGGTAATCCCTCATGGCATTAACTGGATCCTGCATGAACTGAAAAATAAAACATCTCACATTAGATTTAAATCTAATTAAACATAACTTTTGAACTGCAACAGTGAGATAAATATTATGAAAACAATTTGAAATAGAAAATTTTCCCAAGATGGATATCTCCAACTTTGCCGATTTAAAGACTGACACCTGTGTTAAAATAGTGAAGGGGTAAAAAAAAAAACTTTCACCATACCATGGATTGCAAAAAAAAAAACAAACTACAATTTAACATTTACCACAAGAGCCAACTACTTTTTACCATTACCATCATGCTACCTTTCCTCTTACCCTGGATCTGCCTCTGAAGACAGCAAAAATTCAGACACGAAGGGTATGATCTGTTGATACCACTGTAACCTTCTGAATGTGTCTTAAGATTTTCTTGCCTGTATTTTCAGTTACATTTGACTCACTTTTTCATTTTCATAACTCTATTCACTAAAAAACGTTTGTTTTTACTATGAAGATACTCCCCTTTAAAGGTCATCTAAAAAAAATCATTCTAGATTTTCCAGAAAAAATAGATGTTCATATTACTGACTAATAAAAATCAAATCAGAAGGTATGGGAATATTAAAGAGTGAATCAGATTTTAATAAATTCAAAGTTTAAGTCCATCATCAAATAAAAGTTCATTCCAATATGAGTAAATGTATTGTCTTCCTAAAATTTACCTGGTTAATAACCCCTCTATTGGTCAGTAGTTCAGCAGTTGGTGATATTGTAATAGCAGCATTGATGTCCTGGAAGGCAGCAAATGTATTACGCATCTGCAGGTTGACTATAGCTCTTCCTTCTAACGCTGGCTTAAATGCTACAAAAAATTACAATAAAAATTAGCAAGTATGCATATGGCTATTTGATCTTTCCTTCTGATATTGACCCCTTAAGGATGTACTTAGGTCAGGTTAAGGAATGTACTTAGGTCAGGTTTAGGAATGTACTTAGGTCAGGTTTATGAATATTTGTCAGATGTTCGGACTGCTTGGTTTATTTCCTACGATACAGGGTAAAATATTTTGCCCCATAACACCCATTTTTGTTTTCATATAAGACTTCAATAGCTCATAAAAGGTCATTTACCAAAATTTAAGCAGATTCTAGATTTCTTTTCTTTGATTTGAGACCCAAATGATACCAATGCAAATATAAGGTAAAAGTCCAAGTCAGCCTTTTCCCGCCATTTTTAAAAAATTAAATATCTCAAAAAGGAGCTTCATAACCTATCAATATTTTTAGCTTATTTTGTTCCTTAACCAAAACTCTTCTGACTTATAGTATCAATTTTAAATTATAGATTTTTTTTTAATTTCACCTAAGTACATCCTTAAGCACTGATCAAAATGTTCTAAAATTAAACAATTTCTAAAAATTGAAATTATTATAGAATAACTACTTCATGAATTCAATATTCAAAGAATATTAGAAACACACACTAATTCATGAATGTGCATAGTGCATAAGTGAACTATCATTTTGTTTGATCACCAGTTAAATATTTTTTCATATTCAATATTTGAATTTTTAGATTACATTTATTCTTTTTATTTCATTGATTTTTAATGTAAATAAAGGAGAAAATACAAGGAACTATATGTTTTTGTTAGTGTGTTCTCACTTTTTCTTATGTAATTTTATTGACATTGTCATGACAATACCTAATGAACAATGTATTTATATATACAGTTAAATGTTTGTTTATGGTAAATTTTGCAGTAAAATGCCTACCATTAATATAGCAAAATTTAAACATGCATTAAAAACTTTATCACAATATTTTATTTACTCTATGTAGCTCTTTGACATCAACCTAAACAGATCACTGCAGCCATGAAATTCATCATTTGAGTACATGTACTGAGAATATTTCTTTATTAAAAGATAATAATACAAAGAATCATCATGCATATATACTTACTAGGTCTGACTGAAATAGCTATAGTAAACTGGTTCCAGGCCTGCATAAATTTACCCAGGACCTGTAGAGTATTGGCAAGGTTAACTCTGGCTGACAAGTTTGTTGGTTCCTGTCGTAGCACACGTTCATAGTCTCTCCTGAAAATTTTTCAAATATCATTGTTTAATCAATCTTGAAATTTAAAATTGAGAATGGAAATGGGGAATGTGTCAAAGAGACAACCCGACCATAGAGCAGACAACAGCCAAAGGCCACCAATAAATACTTATAAATCAGACATTGCTTCAACAATCAGTTGACGGTTAAGCAGTTCTCAGAATGATATTTTAAATAATTTCAACACTTTTCTTTATAGATGCTTGTTAAAGAAGCTGACTTTACAACTTTCATTGTTTATTACTAGAAATTACCTTGTTTGTTTATAATTCATTACAACTTTATTGAAAATTGGGGTTATATGCTGCATGGATTAAATTTTTTTTCTTCAAATTTTCAGAATTACAAACCTTCAAAGCTCATCTATAAGTGATGATCACACAAATGGAGGACTATGGTTAATTTCATGGACATAACATATACTCTGTAATCTTATATCAATTGGCAGATTTTCAAGGTGTATCTATACAACTTTGACTTCAGAAACTGGCCATTATTTCACAAAAAATTCTTGTAAGTGAAACAATGCAGTGCACTTATGATCAATTTAAATCATAAGATTTTTTTGTGAAAGGCAGGCATTCTAAATTAAGTTCCATAAGCCATGCATTGACTTTTCTCCTTAATATATACAGCTTCACAAAGACTACGTACTTGGCAAATTGTATTCCAGCTTTAGTACCATAATCCATGTACACATTGCCTCTGGCTATGATACCATCCAGGAAGAACTGGTTGTTGTCCATACATGTGGTGAATACTTTAACTCCCTCATCTAGATCATTCATCCTACAAATTATACAGAAAACTTCAGTTTACTTGAGTGACACAGGAGCAAAATGATACCCTCTTAACTGTTTGTATACACAAAGTCAGTGACATCTTTTAATTTTACATTTAAAGTAAAAGTGAAATATCTTATGTCTTGTGCATTCATGCTTCTGCAAAACCAGTTAAAACTTTTATTCCTTATGATTAAAAGAGAGACAAAGAAAGGCACAATACAGTAAAATTTAAAGTTCATTTATCCTTAAAAAATAAACTGTAAAAGAATTAATAGCAAAATAATTGCAGGATAAATGCTGGGCTGAACTTGCGTGGCTCCATGCAATTGATTGAGGTCACATGTATACTGAAGCATAACTGGACTTCCCTTTCATTGAAGCCCAGGTAATTTTGACAACACATTTTCTTGTACAATGGATGTTGTAAAATATCAAACTATCTGCAAACAGGAAGTGGCTGCACTGCAGATGTAAAAAATGCTTTCCTCTACTACTCACCATTATAAAGGTGCAGACCAAATATAAAATCATTCCCTTAGAAGCCAAGAAAAATTTGACAAAAGTTTCCTAGTACATTTGTACAATGAGTGTTGTAAAAGTTCAAACTATCCGCAATTTGCAATGAACAACACATCTGCAAAATGATACTTACTTGTGATAACATAATCCAAGAGTATGTAGAATTCTATGATCATTTGGTTCTATCTTAGCAGCTAGTTTGAAGTCATATAAAGCATTAATGTAATCCTTCCTCTCAAAATATAACAAACCTCTATTGATCAGCACCTATAAACAAAATGCTTTATAAATACTTATAAATCAGACATTGCTTCAACAATCAGTTGACGGTTAAGCAGTTCTCAGAATGATATTTTAAATAATTTCAACACTTTTTCTTTATAGATGCTTGTTAAAGAAGCTGACTTTACAACTTTCATTGTTTATTACTAGAAATTACCTTTTGCTAAATGAATTTGGTATATTTTCTTACAAAAAGCAGCAACCATCAAACATTTCAAAATATTATAACCAAATGAAAAATGGATATGTTGAGTTATTTGTCTTCTTATAGGGGCTTTTGTGAGATTTCGCTGACTTTTACAATTTCTATCAAAAAAAAGTATGGCTGTTTTATATTTTGCTTTTTAATGGGGGGAAATGACCATACCTGTTAACACCTTAGTAAGGTGAGAATTATCACAACTTGAGTGAAAGTGTGGTAATGGTAATTAAATGTGAAGATCTTATCAAACCTATAAAGTTGTATATCTGAGTATATATAATAAATCAATTGCTTGACTTATTATATGACCTAAAGAATGTTCACCTCACTGCACTATGTTGTTTGAACTCTCAAAGGTAGAGATGAGTCTTAGAAGTTATCACACCAGTGACAATAGGGTTTTGACTGCATATCATACAATGTTTACTCCCAAATACTGGTAAGGTGGGAACATTGGATATCTTCGAAATCTCAGGTCTTGAAATGATTCTATGAGTACAATTATTTTTTTGTGGGCTCAACTCCATGGTGGACTTAATTAGAGAGATCTAATAGGAATACAGTTTATATATTAATCCTCCAAAAGTCTTTTGGAACAAAATACCTGTCCAGTTAGTGATTAGAGAATATCAGAAAATATTATCAAAATCAACACAATCCATGAAACTAATGCTACAATCTACTACAATTACCCTGGCTACCTCCCTTAATAAGCTCACATTACAGTATAATCATTTCTTGTATTGTAACCCATCACCATAATTAGAACATATACACATAAATATTCCCATTGAATATTTAAATTCTTAATGAACAATCTCAACACATTAAAGATTTACTGTCTTAGTAATATACAACATTTTATTGACACACCTGAAACCTTTTTCTAGTTTCCTCTTCAATTTCACTAGGACGCTGTTTGAATATAATACTAATACATAAAATACTTGAAATCTTTTAATACTTAAGCCAAGGAATTAAACAATTTCTCCTAAATCCAATATTTTAATAATTAATGGCCATTTAAACCTATTCCCTTTTATTATTTTGTATTTAATTACCAAAGACAATTATACTTGAAGGATAATTTTGAAAGACTCATTTTTTTCTACAAAAACCATAAAGTTAAATCCCCCCTCCAAAAAAATAATGAAATAAAATAAACCAAAGCCCAGTTGTTGAATAGTAGAATAAATAAACATGACCAACAACTGACATTACCTTTAGTTGTAAATCAGCACCAAGTAACAGAACAATACCATAGTCTGTCAAAGCCTAAAAAGGGAAGATAAGAAATTAAATGTCAATAGAGAGCCTAAAAAAATAATTTCACAATTTATCAAAAAACTTGCAAACTGGTAGCAGACATGTAGATGTCTTTTGTTCTTGGTTTTTGTATTGGTGGATTGCTGTAACACTGATGTAAACCTCACATCTGTGTTTATCAAAAGGTCATATGGTTTATGAGCGATTGTAATTGGTAAAGTTTGTTTAGGATTTATGACTGGTTCAAATAAATAGGGAAAACAATTACACTATATAATGCATATCAATATATAGCCATCATGTGCTACTGTGGCATTGAGGATCAAACAATCAATCAATCAATCAATCAATAAATTAATCAATCCTTCTTCAAGATAAGATGTTATCACTTTAGTTGAATTCCACATAAGTATGTTTTGTACCCTTTTTTATTTTATCTGCTTAAACATTTATCAAATCATACTCATCTTTTGTCAATTGTTTCCTGTGATAAAATATAGCTTGTATGAGTGACACCACTGGTAGTTTCTGTTTCTCCCTATGTATATTTTGCCAATCCTTTTCACTTGATCAAATATATCTCTCATACATGAATCAACTGCACAGCCTTACTTATGTTACCAATATGTTTTCTTCTGGTAACATAAGGCAACATAAAGCCCTATTACATATAATAAGAATTTGTTGGCTCTGTGTTGAAGGTCTCACTGTGACTTTGAGATGAAGAACAGCAATAAAAGTGCTGTTCCTTTGCTTTTGAGTGTTTTTTGCTGTGCATTTACTGATTTAGTGTCATGGATGGATACCCCATATCCTTTGTTTTTCTATTGAGAGTAAAAGTTCACTATTTAGTTCTATCTTTTTACAATTATTTTTCCTTTTGCTGAAACACAGACCTGCTATGTAATATAATGTAATGTAGAGTACACATTAACTATAAACTGTAGCATTTTCAACTACTGGTACAAACCTTTTGCCAATCCTTTTTCTCCTGGAAACATACAGCCCTGTTGAAGTAAGCTAGAGCACACTGGCTATCTATACTGGTAGCAGTTGTCAAGTCTCTGATAGCTAGATCATAAGCTTTTATGTGGAACTTCAAAGCCCCTCTGAAAAAAAGACATTGAAAATAAAGGGATTGATAATTTACCTCTCATATTACTAATAAATTATCTGTTACAGTTCACTGAGTGACAGAACAGAGGAAAGTGCACTATAGTTTGATCACATGATAGTGCACTATAGTTTGATCACATGATAGTGCACTATAGTTTGATCACATGATAGTGCACTATAGTTTGATCACATGATAACAACAAAACCTGGATGCAGGTACAGAATTCAATAAATTTCTTTGAAAATCAGCCTTCCTCTGCAAATTTTGAGAAAATAATGTACTTGTATAGCAAATGATTTCTTAAAGTGATGTCCAAAATTTCAGAATTGAATTTAAAATACTTTAAAATTTCATGTTTTATCAAAATATTTAGGGCTAAGTAAATCAACAAATATCCTGTTATAATAAGTAAATAAGTGTTAATGATTAGTGAGATAATCCTGATTGAAATCACAGATAATCTCCATCTTTTTAAAATAAAACAAGTGAATCTGTGAGCTACTGCTCATTAATGATACCCCCGCCCCACTAAAAGTATAAGGTAAACAGGAAGTTGTCGAGTGATGAATCTGAAAACGCATCACACGTTAAGCTGAATCATATAAACCCTGAAACCAAATTTCAGAAATCCTTGTAATGTAGTTCCTAAGAAAGATGCGACGAAAAATATTCATGGGACGGACGGACGGACAGAGGTAAAACAGTATACCCCCACTTTTTTTTAAAGTGGGGGTATAATTAAGAATTTTAGGAATTTGAACTGTAGCCCAATAAATTGTCTTATTTTTTTACTTTACCTATACAAATATGCTCTAACACTTCGAGGCTGTAACTTGATAGCCTCATTACAGCTTAATATAGCTTTAGTGTAGTTCTTCTTCATCCCATAATAGCAAGCTCTACTCAGATATGCCTGGAATATCTTAGGATTCTTAGCCAAAGCTTTGTTGAAGTCATGGATGCCTTTGGATAATTGATTCAGCTTCATCCTGGTCACTCCCCTCTGGTACAATGCCTGAAAAAAAACAGTATTGAGCAATTATTGAAATGGAAGTTTGTGTTGCAAATATTAGTCCCCTTTTAATTAAATATTTTAAAATTATAAATTCCCCCTTACTATATAATAGGTCAAAACACCAGTCCCTAAAACAGCATTCCCTTTTATATTTTTTTTGGGGGAATCAGTATTTCAGAGATATATCATAACTAGTGTCTGATACAGCAATCTACAAACCAAGGGCGTATACTTACATCGGGATAGTTAGCATTGAGTTTGATAGCTTCAGAGAATGCTTCTAGTGCTCTGATATATGTCTTCAGTTCTATATTACACATTCCTATCAAGAAATGAGCCTCAGCAGCTTCCTTTGGCCATGGATCACCAGTTCTCCAAGGTTTCTGAAATTACATGCAATGTAAAATAATTAGTTTAATGCTGACGTTACAAGTGTTTGATACCATTCACCTCATTAAAAACAAAACAGTTTACAACAGATCTGAAAATACCAACACATAAAATCTGCAAGAAATTATAGTAGAGGAATATTTATTTTTTATATATATATAAAAATTTCAAATCAAATTTAAAAAAATGCAATATGTAATCAAAATGTGGCAGTAGTTACCATGGATTCATTATAATAGTTATTGGTGGATTTCATAGGTGTAGGTTAACCACAAATGTTCCATGAAGTTCAACTTTCTATAGACTTCTTTGCAGACTTTGGCAAAACCATGAAATCAAAAATCTACGAAAATATAATTTTTTCTTAATCCTTGAAAATCGATACCAATAAAAAATAAATGAATCCACAGTAACATTTTCCAAATAACCAATAAACAAGCATCTTCAAAATATTTTTCATATCATCAGCTCATAAATAATTAGGGAAATCACTAAATATTGAGATGATGCTGAACAAGTTTGAATTTTTATTAATGAATCTAAATTGTGGCAATATTTATCAATATACAAATAAGGACAAACTGATATCAATAACAACTAGAATTTGGTGTTTATAGGTCAATTTTAAAAAAAAAAATTTTGCCCCAAGTGTTCAAGGTGCTAGCCAAACTGTCATTAAATAAACACATATTGCAGTTGACAAAGAGAATTGCTAATACATTAACTATAACTATGCAAATAGGGATATATCTCTAATTTCTCTAAATATAAATCAGCACAAAAATTTCCTGGTGTACAACATGTTTTCCAAGATGGGAAGTACTATTAAAAAGGCTATTTCAAGCTTTTTCATTCTCAGGGGATCTTCAAACTACATGTACTAGGAATTGCAACCAAAAACAAAAAGAGGCAAAAAGGATTGGACAAGCTGGACTTTTATTAACATTATCTTTAATCCTATTGAATATCCTAATGAATGGACTAAATTTAAGCTTATGGTTTTGCATTAGTGCCTAAAAATATATGTTAGGCAAGAAGGTCACGGTATAAAAATGCTTTAATATGTTGTTTTTTACATACGTGTAAATACACCTAATAAAAGAAATTATAAAAAACAATCATTTGTATTATTCTAATGTTTACTTAAATAAGCACATCATTTACCTCATTAGATGTTCAAAATATGCTAATGAATGCTTAGGCAAAATGAAAAAGTGTTAGGTTTATCTAACCTGATTCTCTTGTTTCATCGCTGACAGATTTAGTTTTATACTAGTATAGCAAATTGTAAAAATAAAAGGCTACAACCTTTACAAATAAAGAATTTTTGGCTGCTGTAATTTTGGCCTAAACTCATTATCTGGTTGAAATTTTGTGCTAAATCACTGAGTTAAAGTCTTTTTCTGTCCATTCCAATCTGAGTTTTTTTCTATTCTTTTTTTCATTTCTGCCTGTTATTCTCCACTCTGTAAACCCCATCCAGATCCTTATTTATTCCCTTAGAAAGTATAAATCAGTGTTTACAACTATTCTGTTATCAGTCTCACAAAAATACTTACGACTAAAGCTGATCGTAAGTATACTGAACTGTTCATGACTTACGATCAATTTTAGTTGTGAGATTTTTTTGTGAAACTGATCACAGTGTATAAAAGTATCAAACCATGTTGGCAAGTTATAATTATTTGCATGTTATGAAAATTCACAATTTCCTGTAAACAATCTAACTGCCAGAATAAAGTAAATGAAGCTGTTTCTTTCAAGCAGAAAAAAATTCACATTACATTTGAATATCAGTAAAAATTAAATATCTGAAAAATAAACACATTCAACTTTGAATTTCCCACAATTTTACATGCAGAAGCAAAATACATATGCTCTCTAGCAATTTTAATAATAAAGTAAAGAACAGAGTATTATGAAGAATAAAGATTTTGAAACTGTAATATTGGGTAACATGCTTAAATGCTTCACATATAATCTTAGCATAAATCATATAAATCAAACAATTCTTGATATACAGAATGAGAAAGATAAAGAAAAGCATCAAAAGCTCAATCAGACATTCTTTTATGTCTAGGACCACATGTATTCCTTCAGTAGGAACTTGTAGTCATGTGGTCGCCATGTGGTCGTCATGGCCTTTCTATTCTTTGTTTCTTATTTTTAACTTCATAGATTTAGGTTTTTAATGGTGGTTTGTTTTACATTTGTATTTTCTTATTTATCTACAACTTACAATAACATTTACTCATTCTTGGAAGCCCTATAGTGACCTTCAGATTGTGGACTTTTCTTGCCCAGTTGTCATTGATGAGTAACCGTCTATTGGCATCTATTTTACACCTTTTATACTTTAACTCTTAACAGAAATAGCTTACTTTTATTAAAGCATAATATCAGAATATCTGATACAAACATTCCATATCATAACAAAATTCCAAAATTGTTTTTTTCATGTTTATTTCCCAATTTTTCCTAATACTTTTCTTGCCATGATTCTTAATAAATATTCTAAATGCAAAAACTCCCACCAATTGCAACAAAAAATGCGATCTATTTCACCTTTCCAGTATATATGTCATAAAAATATCATGCTCTGCTCCCATAACCTCATTCTATTTTAACCTGACTAAACCATAGTTCTATGTGCAAAATTGATGTAAAAGTACTATTTTTTTAACCAAAGGAAACGAAGCGTGTCATGCACCACTGAATTCCCTGCATCTCAATGCTAGAAATGTTTATATACGTATATAGTTGATACATTCCCAATTCTTACCATTTTCTCTAGCTTGACCTATGACAATTGTTGATATGATATAGATAACACACAGTAAAAATACACATACTACAACATCAAACATATATATATTTGCATTCATCACAGATTTTTAAACTACAAACCTAGCTTAGTCTTAGATAAACACTCTGTTAGTCTAAATAATGATTTTGACAGGCTTAATTATGGTATATTAAAGGCATTGATTGTAATGGAAAACTCAACATATAGTCTTGACTTGCTAAACACACTTTTTAAATGAAAGTGGTTGGTTTAACCAGTTTTTATAGCGTGCCAATCCTCCCAATTGTATGACAGTCATTTCAGATTCAATAAAGTGTATATCTAAAAGTGTTATTTTATTATTATAGAATAAATAATTAAAGAATTCAAATTAAGAAAAATATTCAACCAGTGACCGAACAACACATTAATTCACGAATGTCTGTAATGCATGAGCTAATAGTCAGTGTTGTTTCGTCATGAGTTCAATATTTTTCAATATTAGAATTCTATGATTAGTTATTCATTTAATAACATTGACCATGGGCTTTTTAATGGATATATAAAACTAAAAGGAACTTTGTCTTTTTCTACGTATTCCCCAATTCGTTTTGAAGCAATGTCTTGACAAAACTCATTGTTGTATGAGGTCAAAGGAGTAAAATTGTCAGATTTATTTCACATGTGAAATTTTCATTTTTTATTTCATTGGGAAATCACGGTATTTTTATGCAACCAAGGCTATAAATAAAATATAAAAAATCATACATGATTTTGTCTAAATCAGACAATACCTACAGCAGATATAAATTCCAGTTCATTGAATAAATATTTGTTAAAAAGAATACATTTATATGATATGTGTGCATGAAACATGTGCATGAGCAATATTTACATGGTACATATTTTCATGAGATATATGTGCATGAGATAAAATACTGAAGTACAGAGCTGATTCAAAAGAACTTTAAAGGTTCATATTGAATTACAAAGTCAGCTATCTAAGTAAGAGCTTCTCTTTACAAAAATAATTATTCCTTTTTAGAAGGTAATTGCCGCAGATTTCTATTGTATAGAAATTTGGGAAAGAATTTTAATTCTTATTCAATTATAGAATTACTGATTAAAAATTGAATATTTGTGCTCAACAATAAAAGTGTATAACCCCTATTTCTATTTCCCTCCCCTACACCCCCTCCCCCACACGTTTTTTTTTTTTTTAAATTGTCCCATCAATCCTTTTCTAGAAAATGAACATGAATGGTTGTCAATAAGAATCAGCAATTTTACAAAATTCAAAATTTCACTAATCAACAGAGTATATATATATATATATCTTCATTAAAACAGCTGCTGAAAGGGTTTATTAGTACCAGTGGTTACTTACTCTATCAATAAAAGACTGTACAGAAAATTTCAACAATTATTATAAAATCAAAGCAACTTGTTATTTAAAGAATGTGTAATAATATTGCAGAGAAAGGTTTTTTAAATCAGAGATAGGAATTTTCTCATTTAAAAAAACTTCATAATTACAACCTGAATACTTTATTTTGAACAATTTTCGAGTATGATAAGAAAGATTAACTATAACATTCATATCAACCATCAACCATCCGTTTAAAATTAATGTGTATAATTTTCAAAACATACTTATAAAGCATCTTAATTAAATAAAGTTCTATATTTCAGCACTTCTAGACAATTTTTAAAACATTATAAAATGCCATCACTTTTATAGATTCAAATTGAAACATCAATACCGGAATATAATTTTCTATCACAAGAAAAACTTACATATAGTTCCAATGCTTTATTGAAACTTTCTATAGCCTTTAAGAATTCCTTAGCCTTCATCTGTGTTTTACCAAGTAACATAAACATTGAAGGTACTGGCTGGACTCTTGTGGCTGCTTCCAATGCATCTATTGCCTGTCAAAATAAAAGGTTAAAATTTTTTGATAATACCTTACACAAACATAAACTGTACTGACACAGCTTGCTTGGCTGTTATTACACAGTGTTGAATTATTAATCAGTTCATATTTTCACTTTAGAATCCATTCTCAAATAACATTTATGATTCAACTTGTTAACAAAAAAAAACAACTTGTTTTTTTAATACGAAATTTTCTTATTAAAATCTCACCTTGTTGTAATTTTTCAAGAATGACTGAACAACTGCTTGTTGTGTTGGCATCTGTCCTAATGAAGAATCTGTACTTAATTCTGAAGCATGTCTGCAAAATTAATCAAACCAAATTTATCTTAATAGTCTCATTATATTTCAAAATTTTTAATATATCATAGCTTTTATATAATATGAATAAGCTTCTGAAATTATTATACTAATTACATGTACAAATATATGTTGTTATCTAGGATATGATAAATAGCCCTTTACAACAGATGACTACAGCAATCCATCCCCCTCCTTTACGTACTATAGAATACTGAGAATACTCTTTAAACTGCACCATTCATGCTCTGTACAAAGACACTTTCTCCATTAAGAGTCAAAATAATGTAAAACAACTTAAAATTAACAATTACATTAGTTTATCATAATACATAATGATTGAAATTAATTGATTTTTTCATAAGGGTCCAATTATCCATTCTAAGTTCTTTTAAGGGATTGAAGACTTTAACATTTGCTTCAAACTTATCATGTGTCCCCAATGCTAAATATTGTAAACAATTCAAAATCCGAAATCCTCTATCCTTCTGGTGCTTAACCTATCATTGTCTGTTTGCAAAAGTGCACAGATAACATATAAAATATATATATGAAAATAACAAGAGAAGAATTATGTATAAATATAGATTCTACCACTGCATTGAATTTGATAAGATATTTCTCCAGATGGAAAAAAAGGCAGACTCTCAGAACATTTTAATTATTTAAAATTTAACTGTAGAGAGTGGAGAAATATAATGCACGAGATTTGGTGGTGGAATCTGTTTCTCTAATGATTTTTAGACAATATGCAGACAAACTTGAGTCTCCTTTTCCAATGATCTGCAAAATGATGTGTTCTTTCTATGTAACATAATCAGATATGGTTGCCTTTTTTTTGTGACGTCACAATAGGAAAGTCAGAGGAAAGCAAGAAAATTGACATCATAATTGAATTTTGACCAATGAAGAACTGAGATCAAACAAACAACACATTGATTAAATAACCGGTCAAGAAAAGGATAAATTGGCTTAGAATTAGAGAAACAGATATACTATATGTACAGACTTTGACTTGCTCATTTTACCAAACAAATCAAATCTATGTATCATTCCCCATTTCCATTCTCAATTTTATGATATGTGACATTTTGTAAATTTAACAGCAAAAACCATTTAAGTACAATTTAAGTTACAAAACATTTTTTAAGTAAAATTTTGAGTTACATAATATATCGGTAATAGAAACAAACTTTTAAGTAAGTATTCTGAAATAAGAAATGAGTAAAAGAAACAAGCATTAGCTAACTGTTTAGGAATAAGAGATGATTAATAGTTTATAATTAAGAAGGAAGTAAGAAGGTTGTGATTATACAAGTTTGTAATACATTGTTAATATAACAGTGTTACTGATAATAATTTTAGATTTTAAGTGCAGAGGACTTGCCTATAGATGCTATGAAATAGTAGTAAAATATATTAGTATTCCTGTAATGCAGACAAGAGTTTGTTTTGGTTCTGATTATCACAGAATGGCATATAAGCAGATTTGAAGAAGTTTTCAGTATATTTTTCTTTTCAGTATGAGAATTTAAAGATGCAGTGTTCAAAATAACATTGGTATTGTTCTTGATACTTTATTTCAAATTTCCTCTTCTTGAAATGATTTTTTGGAAGTAAATTTTAATCTTACAATACATGTAGAGAAATGTCAGTTCCAAATGTTATCTCATTGCCTAGAAACATAACCAATTGAACAATTTAAAATATTCATAATAAAATATTTTTCTAATTTAGTTGGAACTGTTATTTTGAACACTGCCTATTTATAGAATATATCCCATATGTCCCTGCAGAGTTCACAATCTTACATCATTACTTCTTGACTCCTAAGAAAAAATTATATAAATGTCTTCATTTCGAATTCCTTTTTTTGCAAAACTGTATGTATTATACTATATTTAACTGTTTCAGTTGTAAGAAATACATTTTTTCAGTTTAATGACTTGCTGTAAAATCTTCTGACTGCATTGCTAAGAGGAAAACAGCTATCAATCAATTAATCTATATGTATAGATAGTTTTTGGATTGATACAATTTGAGTAAGAGTTATTTCCCTTGGTGGTCAACCTGCAAAAATTCCTTCATCAATCAACCAAATTTGATGTGTTATACAGACAACGAGAAAAAGGTTGTTTTCTGAACACTTTTACTAGTAAATTGTATAAGCCTTGCATAATTGGTAATTCATCACTACGATCTAGTAATGATCTCTTCTCAGACGATCTAGTAAGGATCTCTTCTCAGACGATCTAGTAAGGATCTCTTCTCAGACGATCTAGTAAGGATCTCTTCTCAGATGTCATTATACATTATGTGTTAATTTGGATAATCAAATAACAAAACAAACCAGTTTCACCTCCAACATGGCGGTCAAGGAAAACAAACATACTCAAATTACGTCATATTGAAACTTATTTTTTTTCAATTCTTTTATATTTTTTTTTTCACTAGTAGCAGAAACAATCCTTATTTCCACTAAGTATATTCCATGAAATTCAACTTGGAGAATCTGCATGTATGCTAATGAACCTGTGAAAGTTTTAAACAATTTGATTTTAAAAAGGATTTTTTTTTTAGTCTGATTTGGTGGAAAGCTGGAACAATTAGTTATGGTAGGGAAAAGATAATTAAAGCTGAAATATCAAAATTATTTGTTAAACAAACATGTGCAATTCAAATATTGTAAATTCATGTAAAAATTGTGATGATTTATGGACAAATGGTGCTTTAGGAAATTACCCTCTTAGCATATTTATCACTCTCAATTCTTTTTGTCGATCTTGGCCATATACAAACATCCTGAGAACACAGCCAATTATATGATGAAATAGTTGAATAGATGAGCATACATATTTTTTTCTTCAATATGATGAGAACAAGATGCCATTTTAAAATTTAAGGTTCATATTAGTTACAGAACAAATCGAAAGAACACTGCTAATAAATATATTAAAATAAGAATGTGTGTCTCCCACATCTGAAGATTATCAAAATGGAATACAATGTAGGAGTTACACATTCCCCCACTATTCTATATAAAATTATCCTACTAAAATTCTATTTTATCCATTCATAAAAATAAACCCATTAACTATCTAAAAAGGCAACATAAAACTGTATCTAGGTTTCTATATAATCTATAAACATGATAAATAACTAGAAATCTCATCATTACCTGACACAGAAAGCTGCCAGTTCCAAATTACCCATCTCCAACACTAGTTGTCCCTGCAACAGAAATAATGAAATTAATTATGCTTGTCAGTAAAATGTGTGTGTTTGTCCTAAGGTACTGTTCATGAGTTTTGAATGTTCTTCGTTCTATTATACAGTTTTGGGTGAGTTTTTCCCAAATCTCTTTTCAATCAAACAACTAATGTTTATAACAGCAACCTTAAAGGAGCAGAATATAGAGCGTGTTTCCACCAGAAAGATCTTGTAACCTTATGTTTGTTATAACAAGTTAAGGACATAAAATGTGTATTCCTATGTAAAAATGTAATGTATAGACGGAATTAAGATAAATTTGGCTGTTAATACCTGAGAAAAAATAATTTTTGTCGGATGTAAATTTTGTGATACTTAATACCAAGCTATATTCAAGCATGTTGAAAATATTTCAGATAATGTACCAGTCTATTTGTATCCTACTTGTACCAGTCTACTGTTATCCCACTTACCCTGTACATATAGTAATGGTGTACATCTGGTCTCAAGTGAATAGCTTTAGTAAAATCACTCAAAGCTTGTTTCAACTGAAATAAAGGAAGACATTCAATTTACTGGTAAAAAACACACATTCTATTGCACTTTAATTCACCATCAAATCACTATGCATCTATCATAGCCCAAATAAAAATATATGACACAGGACAAAAAAAGTTAAATAGAACTTATATTATCTGTTTCATGGGTAAACAATTATCATGTTTAAAGAATACTTTTAACAGTTAGTCATCCATAACAATTGAATCCTCCTTAAATTCAAAATACACTCTGTAACTATGTAGTTCACAAGATGACATGAATAAATATAATAAGTAGTTTTGCCATTATTTCATATCTGGATACAACTTTAAATGTCAATTTGCAAAAAGGTTTATCCGTTATCTCTATTTGTTAAGACAATTAGTAAATCCTCAATTCAATCTAAAATTAGAATGGAATTTCAGTTATTCCCCATCCTTGTTGACAGCACTGAGATATTGCAAGAGAAGAGTCAACGATAATAAGAAATTGGTACTTCTCAAGGGGAGGTAACTTATATTAAAACATGTTTTATAGATTCAGAGTTCATGGCATGATGAATTAGAAAATCCTCTCGGTTTAATGTGTTTCTGAAATGCTGTCTCAAAATGATTGATTGATTGTTGGTGTTTAATGCCACTTTCAGCACTATTGGCTATATCATGGCAATTGGTTTTTATTGATGGAGGAAGCCTGAATGCCTTGGCAGGAAAAACTAACAAATTTAGTCAATTTAAAAAGAACCAAATGAACCTTCCACATGCAGTGTTAGAACTCTCTTTATCAGTGTTGACAGGCTAGTGATACAGTAGATGAACTCCTTAGACCACTCGAGCACTGAGGGCCCAAAATAAACTGACTTACTTCATGTATTTTGTGATAAGCTTCTCCTCGACATACATAACCTCTAACATATGTAGGATCTACTTTGATGGCAGCAGTGAATTTCTTTATCGCTCTGTAAAATAAATTAATGAGAATGTAATTTAAGTATTTTTTTAAGAGTTTCATAGATAAATATTTTAACATACAGGAACTAACATCTAACTTTATCAAAACCAAAACTATTAATCAGTAAATCATGCTTTATTTTATTAATTTTGATAAAAAAAGATGTTTACTAATGAAATCATAATTGTTCAATGGAATTTCATTTCAATAGCTATAAGATTTTGGAAAAAACTATTATGATAGGCTTAACAGTATTGACCACTGAAAAGGAGTTTGCTTCACACATTCACATATGAATCCTTTTTATATAAGATCAAACATCCAACTTTTAATATAAAATTTCTTACTATTAAAGTTTATTCAAATCTTACAGTTAAAAATAAATGCTTCTTACAGGCTTTGTAGATCATTCATCAGAATTATTATCAGAAAAAAACAAATGACAAATTGAAAATTTGGGCAACAATAAATATTTCCAATGCTGTTTGCCAAGTCTTATTTCTTTGAGAGAAAAAAATATAAACATGTTTCATTATATCACAAGTAAGAATTCCTAAAAAATGATATATAGTTCTAAAAGAAGATAACAGAAGTCTTTTAATCTCAAACCTGTGGTAATTTTCATAATGATTCATAAATATTAGACCAAGGTTGACATGAGCACAGGCCACATCCTTTCGTAACTTCAGTACACTCTCAAAGTCAGGGATAGCATCTTCATATCTGAAACACAAAGAAAATACTAAGGAAACTTTTCTTAACTATAAGACATCACTTAGTACCATTTATACAATAGTTTCTCACATTTAAACAATTTTTTTTAAAATAGTTTACTGCTTGTAAACAAAATAAGAGCTGTGGGTTATTGTCATTGGAACAGCAACATTCTTTTTGTAAATACAAATATCTCCTGTTAAGGCCCAATTTAGCTTTTTTGATCACAAATGTACAGGGACTAAACTTAACCCTTTTTATCCAGGGGCCAGCTGGGCCCCAAATTTTTTTTCAGAGATCCAGTTGAAATTTAATGCTACTACATTCCAAGTTTCATCTGAACTCTTTTTAGCGAATATCAGTCAAAAAAAAATTGGGCTAGTAAAGGTAAATATCTGTATATTTGTACCAAAAGAACAAATAAAACCTTAAACCTTTAAAATCAGTGATGAAAAAACTGCTATATAGCAGCAATCAGTGTTTTCACTGAAAACAAAGGTTTTGAAGTGGAGTTACATTCTTTGTGTTCCTGTCAAAAGTCAGGAGGCTGTAATTCAGTGGTTATTGTTAGTTGACCTGTAGTTTCTTACATCTACCTCCTTTGGACTCTGGTGGATAGTTGTCTCATTGGCAAGCATATCACATCTCCTTAATTTCATGTTACATGAAACAAGAGTGCACACGCTGAAATGTCTCGCCTTCTTTACTAATCATTGATATTTTGTTGATAGTCCTAAATATAAAGCTTTATTACAACTGTCACATAAACTTAACATTAACCAAGTAAACTAAACATTGACCAATGAACCATGAAAATGAGGTCAAGGTCAGATGAACCATGCTAGGCAGGCATGTACAGCTAACAATTCTTCCATACAACAAATAGAGTTGACCTATTGCTTATAGTTTAAGAAAAACAGACCAAAACACAAAAACTTAACACTGAGCAATGAACCTTGAAAATGAGGTCAAGGTCAAATAAAACCTGCGTGACTGCCAAATAGATCATAAAATATTTCCATACACCAAATATAGTTGAACTATTGCATATAGTATAAGAAAAACAGACCAAAACACAAAAACTTAACTATAACCACTGAACCATGACAATGAGGTCAAGGTCAGATGACACCTGCCAGTTGGACATGTACACCTTACAGTCCTTCCATACACCGAATATACTAGACCTATTGCTTATAGTATCTGAGATATGGACTTGACCACCAAAACTTAACCTTGTTCATTGATCCATGAAATGAGGTCGAGGTCAAGTGAAAACTGTCTGACGGGCATGAGGACCTTGCAAGGTACGCACATACCAAATATAGTTGAACTATTGCACATAGTATTAGAAAAAAAGACCAAAACTCAAAAACTTAACTTTGACCACTGAACCATGAAAATGAGGTCAAGGTCAGATGACACTGCCCGCTAGACATGTACACCTTACAATCATTCCATACACCAAATATAGTAGACCTATGGCATACAGTATAAGAAAAACAGACCAAAACACAACAAGAGTGCACACGCTGAAATGTCTCGCCTTCTTTACTAATCATTGATATTATGTTGATAGTCCTAAATATAAAGCTTTATTACAACTGTCACATAAACTTAACATTAACCAAGTAAACTAAACATTGACCAATGAACCATGAAAATGAGGTCAAGGTCAGATGAACCATGCTAGGCAGGCATGTACAGCTAACAATTCTTCCATACAACAAATATAGTTGACCTATTGCTTATAGTTTAAGAAAAACAGACGAAAACACAAAAACTTAACACTGAGCAATGAACCTTGAAAATGAGGTCAAGGTCAAATAAAACCTGCGTAACTGACATATAGATCATAAAATATTTCCATACACCAAATATAGTTGAACTATTGCATATAGTATTAGAAAAAAAGACCAAAACTCAAAAACTTAACTTTGACCACTGAACCATGAAAATGAGATCAAGGTAAGATGACACCTGCCAGCTAGACATGTACACCTTACAATCATTCCATACACCAAATATAGCTGACCTATTGCATGCAGTATTAGAAAGAAAGACCAAAACTCAAAAACTTAACTTTGACCACTGAACCATGAAAATGAGGTCAAGGTCAGATGACACCTGCCAGCTAGACATGTACACCTTACAATCATTCCATACACCAAATATAGTAGACCTATTGCATACAGTATAAGAAAAACAGACCAAAACACAAAAACTTAACTATAACCACTGAACCATGAAAATGAGGTCAAGGTCAGATGACACCTGCCAGTTGGACATGTACACCTTACAGTCCTTCCATACACCGAATATACTAGACCTATTGCTTATAGTATCTGAGATATGGACTTGACCACCAAAACTTAACCTTGTTCACTGATCCATGAAATGAGGTCGAGGTCAAGTGAAAACTGTCTGACGGGCATGAGGACCTTGCAAGGTACGCACATACCAAATGTAGTTATCCTATTACTTATAATAAGAGAGAATCTAACATTACAAAAAATCTGAACTTTTTTTTCAAGTAGTCACTGAACCATGAAAATGAGGTCAAGGACATTGGACATGTGACTGACGGAAACTTCGTAACATGAGGCATCCATATACAAAGTATGAAGCATCCAGACCTTCCACCTTCTAAAATATAAAGCTTTTAAGAAGTTAGCTAACGCCGCCGCCGCCGGATCACTATCCCTTTGTCGAGCTTTCTGCGACAAAAGTCGCAGGCTCGACATAAAAACAATGAAATATTAAACTAGAGGCTCTCAAGAGCCTGTGTCGCTCACCTGTATTTACTGATGCTTTGGAAATCATGTAAAATAAGGTTAAAATCATAATTAATAGTATTAGATATTAGATATTATAATGATATCTAAGATAATAACAAAAAACTGCAAAATTTTTGTAAAATTACTAACTCAGGGGCAGCAACCCAACAACGGGTCATCGGATTTGTCTGAAAATTTCAGGGCAGATAAATCTAAATCTGATGAACATTTTTGCCACCTGTCAGATTTGCTCTAAATGCTTTAGTTTCAGAGATATAAACCAAAAACTGCATTTTACCCCTATGTTCTATTTTTAGCCATGGCTGCCATCTTGGTTGGTTGGCGGGGTCATCGGACAAATTTTTTAAACTAGATACCCTAATAATGATTATGGCCACGTATGGTTAAATTTGTATCATTAGTTTCAGAGAAGAAGATTTTTGTAAAAGATTACAAAAATTTACGAAAAATTGTTAAAAATTGATTATTAAGGGCAATAACTCCTAAAGGGGTCGACTGACAATTTTGGTCATGACAACTTATTTGTAGATCTTACTTTGCTGAACATTATTGCTGTTTACAGTTTATCTCTATCTATAATAATATTCAAGATAATAACCAAAAACTGCAAAATTTCCTTAAAATTACCAATTCAGGGGCAGCAACCCAACAACAGGTTGTCAGATTTGTCTGAAAATTTCAGGGCAGATAGATCTTGACCTGATAATCAGTTTTACCCATGTCAGATTTCCTCTAAATGCTTTGGTTTCAGAGATATAAGCCAAAATCTACATTTTACCCTTATGTTCTATTTTTAGCCATGGCGGCCATCTTGGTTGGTTGGCGGGGTCATCGGACACATTTTTTAAACTAGATACCCTAATGATGATTGTGGCCAAGTTTGGTTAAATTTGGCCCAGTGGTTTCAGAGGAGAAGATTTTTGTAAAAAGCTAACGACGACGGACGACGACGACGGACGACGGACGACGGACGCCAAGTGATGAGAAAAGCTCACTTGACCCTTCGGGTCAGGTGAGCTAAAAATGGCTAATACTATGGATTTATTTATTTCATGGGTACTCATTTTAGTAAATTTATTTATTTTCATGGGTACTCATTTCAGTGGATTTATTTTCTTCAATACTTGAATTTATGGTTTTGACCAAATTATGATACAACCTAGTAGATTTTTTTTTTAAATTTGGACACTTGAATTGTGATTCATTTCTCCCACAAAATTCACAAAAGTTAGTACTCCACGAATCAAAATGCATCCTCAGCATTGGTTATATAAAAAAACTTTCCTACCTGTGCATTGAGTTATATAGTATTCCTCTGTGTAGATATGACATGACATTGTCATCACTATCATTAATTAGTAAAGATACACTGTAGTCATGTAAGGCTCGCTTTGCATGTGCTCTACAAGTTATAAAATATATATACTTTAAACTTGTGTATGAACCAATAACATTGGTCTCCAGAGAAAAATTAAAATTGCATAGCTCATAAAAATTTTAATTTACCTTCATTCCATACTTAAGTTGCAAGTTGATTTAATGACTCATAAAAAGTATTTAAATGCAACATAGATCAAATGTATTTCCAAAGTTAAATATTTCACAGTTTTTTCTTACTTTTTTTTTAACAAATAAACAAGATATGTAATTACATGAAAGTCTTACTTTCTAATTATGCAAGCCCTATGGTAGAAAGCCTCCCAACTCAATGGGTCTAAATGTATAGCTGCTGATAGGTCTTCAACTGCTGGGCTCCAGTTAGCCATCTTAGCATTGGCCTGTCCCCTGTAGATCCTTGCTGTAACATTCAGTGGGTCTACTCTAAGAAGGTCTGTGAAATCTGTTATAGCATTGTGCCAGCTCCTGGAAATAAATAAGTAGTACTTTATAGCAATAGAAGAGCAAGATCTTACAAAGGTTTAAAGCTGATAAAAGTATCATCTTCGTATAAAACTCCAATGACATGCTTTTCGTTTGTCTTCAGGAACTTTTCCACATGTTAACCTAAAATCATGATGGACTTAAATTTCCCAAATTATCCTGATAAGTACAATTATCTCCCCTTTAGGATATTTCGAACCAATTTGACTTCATACACATGTCCATAAAAAGTACTACATGAATGTGAAAGGCTTCATCAAATCAAACAACCAGTTTAGGGTGAATTGTCCAATTGAATTCATATGTGTGTCTCTTTTTTTCTGAAACAGTTTTTTCCTTATTCTGTGAGATCTTCTCTGGATAAAATAAAGCGTTGATATGAATATGGATAAAACGTTCAAAATATACTTATTTTTTAATTTATTCAATAAAAAATCTAACTTACTCATTTTTAAAATAGTAAAGTCCATGTTTCAATATAGCATCTGTTCTCAATGGGTTTATCTTGATACACTTGGAATAATCTTCTAAAGCTAACAACTGACTGTCTCCTTTCTAAAAATAAAACAAGTACGGTTCAATTAAATTATTGAGAATCTACAATTTTCCAGCGAGTTCTAATTTTTGTGCATTTCGTGATAAAAGGTGAAACACCAATTCAACTGTTCAACAAAGAAGAATTTAAAATAGGCTTGTATGCAGAAATTTGTCAAAACCATGAATTCAAGAGTCCTCAGAACAACATTTTTTCCTCAATCCACAAAAATTGGTTCCCATAAAAATAAACAAATCCACAGTATTCATTCAAATATTTTAAATTCATAAATTATGTGCATTTATCTGTTCGAATGTTGATTATAGGATAATGTATAATTTATTACAATAATGTGGGTTTTTTTTAATGCTGAATACAAATAATGCCATTAGAATTTTTAAAAGAGAGTTCAAACAGATTTTATGGTGACCTATAATTGATTACCTCCATGTCCTTTGGTCCCTGGTAGATAGTTGTCTCATTGTCAATCATACCACATCTCCTTATTTGTGTTTGATAGCATTCACATTTAATGCAATAATAAAAATATCAAAAACATTTCTGAATTTACAATTTGGTAAAAGGATGTATACAACTTAAAAAGGTTAACTTTCTTGTAGTAAGTCCCATCACGACCAGGCTGGGGAACTGGGTCGGCAAATGTTAACATTAAATCTGTACCGATATACAGTATGCTAAATGTCCTCCTTTAAACCATACACATGGTTACCATGACATACATGCAAGTCCCTTAAACTGAATTTCCGTATATAAATTATCTTTTACTTTATAGAAAGCTGTAAATAGACATTATTGCAATATTTGATAATTCAGAATGAAAATACAACAATCACAGCTGACAGCCTTATATTCTTCAAATTCCTTTCAAGTCTGTAAAAGAGCTAGAGGTGTTCTGAAAAGCATATCTGTAATGAGTAAAATTAATGAAAAGGAATTTCAATTTTAGAAAGAATTCATGATATCTGCAGATAGTTGTCCTGTATATGCCTCACTGTTAAAAACTTTATTTTACTGCTTAACATAAAATGCAATATAAACTAAATGGTTAAACCACAACTCGCTGCTGTACATACCTTTTCGTACATCTCAGCCCTTCTAAAGTAGGCTTCATGATCCCTAGGGTTTAGTGAAATTGCTTGTCTATAATTCATAATGGCCTCGTCTACATTATTTTGTTGTCTGTATATTTCAGCCCTTTAAAACAAAATATCATTTTATTTGCTAACTGTCATTCAAATAAGATCCCTATTTCCTCAAGACCTAAATACATATTTAGGCATTGATGTTATGTAGATATTTTTTCATTGATTTATGTGGTAGAAGTCAGAGGAGTGTCAACAATTTGCACATGACAAAATATGTCTTATATAATGGATTGATCAGGGTGATGATTAGTCATTACCATATATGGGCATAAATAATCTGCAGTCTTTTACTCCCAATTTCAAATCACAATGCAGGAGTGCAGATTATAGAATACAACAAGCAAGATATAAGAGAAAACTTTATTTGCTGATGTTTGTTTACCTTCCTCTATGTTTGTTCTAGAAAAAGATGAGGCCACACCTATTTCTGTTCAAAATCAAGCTTTTCAGTGTGTGGAATAGATTTAATTTCATTCTATGACATCAGCTGTAGTTGGCATCATTAACAACAGTACATCATTACTCTCTGCTTTAGAATTAAAATCAATTTAAGGATGTACTTAGGTCGGGTTTAGGAATTTTTGTCAGATGTTCGCACTCCTTGGTTTATTCCTACGATACAGGGTAAAATATTTTGCCCCATAACACCCATTTTTCTTTTCATATAAGACTTCAATAGCTCATAAAAGGTCATTTACCAAAATTTAAGCAGTTTCTAGATTTCTTTTCTTTCGATTTGAGACCCAAATAATACTAACGCAAATATAAGGTAAAAGTCAGAGTGAGCCTTTTCCCGCCATTTTTCAAAAATTAAATATCTCGAAAAGAGCTCCATAATCTATCAATATTTTAAGCTTATTTTGTTCCTTAACTAATGCTCTTCTGACATATAGAATGAGTTTTAAATTCTAGATTTTTCTAATTTCACCTAAGTACATCCTTAAACAGTAAAACTTGCATATAAAGGTCACTCTTGAGAGGAGATAAGACTAACCTTATAAGAGAGATGACCTTTGACATAGAAGAAGAAGAGGGAGACCTGACAAGACAAGTTTTTGCTAAATAGATGTGACCTTTATAGCTGCTTTGACTGTATCATAATTACCTGGATCGCCAAGCTCCAGCATGCTTTTTATTTTTCTTGATGATGAAGTTAAGATCAGTGAGAGCTTCTTTCTTCTTATCTTGTAACAGATATAGCAAATGTCTGTGCCAATAAGCATCAATCAATTCTGGCTCAATCTTTATTACTCTGAAATGTAAAGATACACATTCTTTGAATTTGCATACTAGACATTTGAACTGAATACTCATTTGATTTTCACTGATAGGAATTCATTCTTTTTTTTGCTTATATTCAAATACGATGGTTTTGCTGACTTTGGGTATAGAAATGCATATTTTCAGTTAATAAGGCACTGAAATATGAGTGTTACTTTGCCTTCAAAGAAATGCTAACCAGTATTTAACATATAAAAAATAATAAAAATAACAATATATTCAAGGACTTTGAATTGGGGTGATATGAATACAGACAATATTACATAGGCATTTTGCATTACCCTTAGCATTTTTTCACCAAATCTGGTTGAATCTCTATAAAGTAGTATCTAACAGTCTTATTACCATTACCTCCTTCAGCTTTATACATTGATACATTTGACGAATGGTATCCTTCAAAGTTTTTTAAATTATATCAATATAAGTGTTTTTTTAACAGTCTAACTACTGTAGTCCCCTTCAGCTTTTTACCATGCTCAATTCATTCAGGTCTCTTCAGAAATTTTTAAAACACTCTGTTTAAGGTAACTATTTATTGCCAGATTTATTCCCACCATTGCCATGATATATTTACCTATTAAGGTCCTCCTCAGCCTTTTTTACCATACCAATTTTTCTCAACAAAGCCCCTCTTCTACACAGATCAAATGCTTTTGGTCTTGGGGTAGCTTCTATCATTTCTGTTAACTTCTCTACTTCTTCATGTAATATCTATAAATAGAATAAAAAGGCAGAAATAAACATATACATGAAGTATGTCAAAACAGAAACTATTAAGTTAAAGGAAAAGATGTAGTTCTTAATGTATTCCATTCACTTTCAAACTTTCATGAGGTTGTTCAATGTCTAAAAAAACATACTGTGCCGTACTGTGGCCTATAATGGTTTACTTTTATAAATTTTGACTTGGATGGAGAGTTGTCTCATTGGCACTCATACCACATCTTCTTATATCTATATGTAAAAAATCAAGGTGACCATTACTATGTAAATGCTTTTTTCTGTCATCTGTTGATTTTCCTTCATTTAGTCTCATCATCAACATAAATACATGTATGACAACTTTTTGTCTGTTATTTAAATTCTCAAAACTGGAATGGATTCTCAAAACTGAAATGGTCTCTCAAGAAACAGTGCCATGAATATGTATTCTTATATGAATAAAAAGAATCGTGAGAAAAACGTGAGGAATATTTATGATACAGTCATGTGTGCTCTAGAAAAAAATCAAAATCAAAATTTGTTTAAGAAATAATTGGGGAAAAGTTGAAAAGGGGTGGGGTCCAGAAAAAGTTGAAAGGGGGTAAGGGATGAGGTATTAAAAATTAATAATGCATGTATGGTATTCCCTAAAAGTTTCTTAAAATGTAAATACTAAAATTTCATACTGAATTTGACAAATGTTTGATGTAAATAAAAAGAGGATTCCATCTTACCCCGATATCTTTAATCTAAAATAACTCAACTGAAATCTTGTTTGAAACAGACAGGCAGGGTAATGATACATTCAAAAGTCTACCACCTCCATAAAAGAACAAAAACCCAGAGAGATAAATGTATATATTCTTTTGACTGAATTGAAATCAGAAACAAGTTTATGACTAGGATTTCTAAAACTATAACCTCAGGTTTACAGCTGAAAGATAAGTTATAATTATAATTCTATAGCTAGTTTCTATGATTAAACAACAGTAACCACCATTTTCTTTTCTTTTTATATACATTTATTACCTTCTTTGGTATCTGTCCTTCCTTAAACATGAAATTCATTTTACATTTCAAAAAAATGATCTACTTTCTAAAAACAACAATAGTAAAACCTCAAAAGAAGGGTTTTATGGCATTTCTTTTTTAATTTTTTTGAAATTTAATTTTTTGATTAGTTATTCTTTTTACTACATTGACCGTGGGGTTTTTAATGGAAATAAAGTAGAAAATACAAGGAACTATATTTTTTCTACGCATTTCCAATTCGTTTTAATGCAACGTCATACACAATGTCTTTACAACAACCATTGTTGTATAATGTCAGGAAAGTGAAATTATCTGTTTTTATTTAACTCGGAAATCACAGTATTTCATTGCAAGCAATGTCATAAGAGCTTTTCTCTAATTCTCAGGAGATGATTGAATAAGTTAAAAGGTTCACAACCTTATCAGCTCTCTGGATCAATCGAAATGTGCTAAAAGGTGTTACAGAAATTGACATCTTTACATTTGCATGTCTCAGATTCAGGAATGTGGAAGGCCCTCAAAGGGGATTTTCATTTATTGAAATTTAAATTTATTTGATAATCATTAGAGAAACAGATTCTTACATAGTTACTTGTGGATTGTTTAATTTATCCAATCTCAACAATTAAATGATAGAATTTTAAAATCCAAGCCATGGATAAATCCGATAATCCACTGGTTCCAATGTAAGAATGGATATTTATCCAATTGGTTCTACAGAATACTGTGGTTTCATTATAATTCACTGGGTACTAGTTTTTGTGCATTTCATGGGTGAAGCCTAACCACAAATTCAAGTGTTCATAAAATACAAATTCTCATATAGTCTAAATGCATAATTTGTCCAAACCATGAAATTAATTATTCATGATAATACAATTTTTTCCTCAATCAACAAAAATTGGTAACCATGAAAATGAATGAATCCACAGTATTGTGTCTTTCATTTATAGATTTATATTTCTCATAATACTAGTGAGACTGATTTTTTAAAATGTGATGATATAATTATAACTTAAACCTACAGCAAGTAATTCCTGATTTTCTTCATTTTCCTGTAAAGGTTCTATTACACTTATACTCTCTGATAAAGCACTGGTAATGGATTCTTTCCTGAAACAATTATAAAACATGACATTACAATATATCAAAATAGTCTACAGCAAAAACCATATGTGTGTTAACCAATTTTCTTGCAAGTTGTCAGTTTAATTTTAATTCTATCAAGAGCTATCTAATAAAGTATAGCGATAAAACCACAAATGCTCAGATGGAACTCAGGCAAACCCGAGGCAGAGTTATCTCAATCCAGCTGTTCCTTTGGGCAACATTGAATGAACTATTTTTTTAAAATATCTCTTGAAAAAAATTTAAAATGACTTATTTAATTTTTCAACATTTATACAATACATTACTTTATCAACATCAGGAATTTAAAATGTGCCATACTTTAAGTTTTCATTTTGTAAAGATAAACAGGAACATGAATGAAATTTGCTCAGTCTGAGTCATGACTTAAGGAATTGGAAAATAACAAGTGAATATTATGATTTCAAGCTCTAAATGGAATTGAGTGTAGAAAAAATAGTGATTTTATTTATTCAAAAACTTCATATCATATTTAACCACATAATGGAAAATTGATTGTAAACAAATAAATCCTCACCTTGTTAATATCATAAACCCAAAATATTGAGAAAAATATTAATCACCACAGAGCTATATACTACAGTAAATAAGTACCTTTTCTTTTCCTGTTTTTCTTCCTTTCTAGGTGACATTGCAGCTTGTTCTTCCTCCTCTTCCTCGTCAGATGACACCTCAGGCGTCGGTGGATACAGTTCATCAAACCAACCATTCCACATGTCTCTGACCCAATCTCTTTCTTTCATATCTTTTCTGTAATAATTCATTTAAATGTCTATAAACATTCTTAAAAGCAAATACTTCTGAATTCATTGAACTTTTAACTTAAGACTTAATTTTTGAACAAAAAACACTCTGCAAAATATATGACCTAAAACTGTTACAAGCAAGTTATCATTGCATTTTATTGTTTAAAACTATAAAAAATCAGAGTAAACTTCGTAAATTCCTACCTTTGTCCCATCAGTTTACAAATTAGCTGTTTACAAACGTTTGAATTGATTGAAAAATCTAAGGATTCTCAACCCCAGAAAGAGATTACCTTAGTTGTAAATGGCAAAACCTTTCAGAATTTTGGATCTTCAATGCTCTGTAACTTGATACTTTATCTGGCATTTTTACTTTTTTTGATTCAAGCATCACTGACAAGTCTTATGTAAATGAAATGCACATCTGGCATACAAAATTATAAGCCTGCAGGGTTCTCACTAGGAATTTTTCATGGTGAGTCCTGGGACTCATCACTTTTAAAAATGGTGAGTCCCAATAGATTTTGATGAGTCCAGGATGCATGCAATTTTTTGTGTCTTAATATAATGAAATATGACGAAATAAAACTAAAACGATGCGTGTTGGATTGGTAGTTTTTATTATATCAATAAAAATTATGATCTCTTAATAGTTATTGTTCATAACAAAATATATAACAGACTTCTTTCTGGGTCTATCAATCCTTGGTGTAGGGCCACATTTAAAAAAATGTTGGTTTGCCAAAGTCAGAGTGCCATAAAAAAAGATTGGGTTGGTAGGTATTTTTTTTTTTTTTTTTTTGGGAAAAATATAAATGGCCTATTTAATGATAAACTCAATAAAAGAGGTTGTCTTTGTTCTTATTGGTGATTTTTTAGTTACTGGACATTTGGTCCAATAATGATTAAGATATTACTGGACCAGCTCATATATTACTGGACCAATATGGCAAAAAAAAAAAAAAAAATAACTTTACAAATTAACCCCTTCCCCTTTACACCCTTTTCCCAATTAAATTGGTGTAGATTGAACTATATATACTAAGTTTAACTATTTTCCTGGCACTCCTATTTCAGCTGTTTATTTCATATGTCTATAAATATCCAGACAGGTTTGTCTGTTATTTAGGTGTTTCCCCAGTATTTTTCCTGCCAAAAGTGCACATGTGACTTGTTTGTCAACAAAAGAAAACATGTGGTCAAGGAATTCATTTAATTTCTGGATTATACTGCTTTTAATTATTTAGTTTGGATTTATATGCATTCCATTTAAGGTACAGTCAAGCATTTGTATTTTAAAAAAAAGTTTGCAAACAATTTTTACTTTCAATTTGACAAAAACTGGGTCATGTTCGTTCATTGGATGTAACCTTGTTCAACCATGCAGACAATGTAAATAAAGCAATCAGCTGTCAATAGTTATCAGTCAACAAAAATATTGATCTACGCATCACATAAATTTTTCACCATCGACTTCCAGTTTAGTTTCTTGTCAAAACAATGTCGACAATCATGAATCTTCTAGGCAAACGATGTGTTTGGGACTCAGGGGATACAATTAGGACGCGTCCCAGGGACCCATGGGTTTCAAAAATGACGCGTCCAGCTTGATTTCCATGTGTCCAGGACACGTATACACGTCTTAATGAGAACCCTGAGCCTGGTATCTTTGAATAATTTTTTGTATATGGTGAATATGAATTACAGTCAGCTTAAGGTAGATGGGGTGTCTAAATTATAATCCATAGAATTTTTTAATAATTTGCCAAAATGTAGTTTATATCATGCTTTTTAAAAAAAAATAATAAAAAGAATGGGTCACGGGGCTTATTTTCACGCTACAGATTGTGCAAAATTGACAGATTTTGTATAGATTATGAATGGAAAAACCAATTTTCTGCCATAAAACGAAAACTACACCATAGAATTTTGAGATAAAATATGAGAAGATAGCTCTACTAGTATGCTTTCAGATAAGAAAAAGAAAAAATGGGGTCACGGGACCCGTTTTCTTGCTACATAATAAAATAGGTAAATTCCTAACACATTCTATTGTAAATGTAACTTTATCTGAATTATCTGCCCTTACATTTGAGTTGCCTCCCCTTATGTGGCAAAGTTGGAAAAAATAGAATCAAACAAAAGTATTCTTTTTTTTATAAAATACAACCATAAATATGATAAAATAGATCATTTTCTATATTGAAATGAAAATTCTTACACATGAATTACCTACTACTCTCAAAATTTGCACCTTTTATTAAAGATCTAGACCGATTGTTTTCTGGTATTTCAAAATCCAAGATGGAGGAAGACACCCTATCTACCTTAATACTGACATTTACATCAAGGTAATTCTACTCTGATATAGAAAACATGCCTTCTGTTTGGTAAAGTTTGGTTATGCCAATTCATTTTCTTCATTTTCTTTGGTCTATTCTAACATGTAACATTCAAGAGACTCAAATATTTCCTTGTCTATACAGGTAGTAATTCACTAATTAGACTTAAATATTCAAGAAATATTCCAAAGAGTTTCAATCTGCTTTTTGAATTTATTTAACTATAAAAGTACAACTTGCCTGGAATAAACCTATCAAAAACTATTTTGTACCATCTGGATACTTACGGCATTTTCTTTTTCTTTCCAAATGCCCCAAAGTCTAGAACATTTGCTAAGCTGTTTCTTGGTCCATGTCTTATTTTACTGAAAAAAATTACAATGAAAGAGAAAAGTAATATTCAACCAAAATATATATATTACCACAATATATTTATAGTGTTAGAAACAGTTCAAAAATTTGAATTCTTAAATTTACTCATATAAAACTCTTCCATTCAACTGAAAAAAGTAAAATGTGAAAAACATAACAGATGTTAACTATGTGTATGTATGAAGCATATATCTTTGATGAAAAAAATTCTCTCACAGTAAAAATTTAAACAGATTGTATATGGTCTTACCTCTTATAATTAATATTAAACGATTGTCAGATTTACATGTGAAAACAAATTGAATCTCTTAAAATAAAAAATATGAATAGTTTATGAACACGTAAAACTGGTTCAACTAAGACACAATTTGTGCTTGTACTAAGTCATGTTATCTGAACTTGGTGTTTTTTGTTGTTGAGTTGGCTGTTAGTGTGTTCTGTTGAACTGGCCAATATTTGAAGTAATTCCTGTTATCTTTTTTTCGTGTATCATTCTCAACCAGAATCCAGAAATTTTAAGTTTCACTTGACCAATAGTTAATTTTGGAAACAAACTAAAATTCAGCCTATAAAATAGCATAAAGCCTACTCTTACAATGTGTTCAAAAGTTTCTTGAACTTTCTGATTTCAATTAGGTGGTACAAAGTAAGATCAATCAATTGATTTTTGGTGTTTAATGCCACTTTTAACATGCTTGGTTATATCATGGTGACCAGTTTATGTTGTTGAAGCAAGAGTACCCAGACAGAACCAATGATTTTTGGCATGAAAACTGGCAATCCTAATGAATAAAGGACTAAGTAAGACCTTACCTTGATACTCTAAGGTCTTTCTCAACAGTCATGTGCATTTTTTCCATAGATCTACTTCTGGTAAGTTTGGTTGGAGATGAACGAAGAAATTTCTCAATTTCATCCAATCTAGCCATACTTATAGGGGCTTTCTTCTTCTTCTTTTTCCTACATAAAATAATTAAAAATAAATATCAACAACAATTTTAATTTAAATAGTTAAATTTCAAAATAAATCTATTCATATATATAAACTATAAACCTTACAAAAAGAAAACAAAATAAAATTTAACTTATTTACATCTACCTACTGGATTTAAATATTTTTCAATTTGAGCTAGATAAAGAAAATTCAATAATTTGATCATGCATGTCAAAATGACCATGACGAAATGTTTGAGTTATCTCCCCTATTTTACTTACTTTTTAGGCAGTATAACATAAGCTCTACCAGCTACCAGAGCTAATTCTGCAGGTGTAGGCTCATCAGCTTAAAAAGAAAGTTTTTAAACTCAAGAAAAGAGAACACAAAAGTTCATAGATAACAAACTATTGTAAAAATTGGAAGAATTTAAATAAAGAAATGTGATTCAAAAAGAGGCTGAAGAAACCCAAGGATCATCAAAATTCATGAGCCTCAAAGAAAATGATAACATACTGTAAACCAACTTATTTTAGCGATTTTCGTGAGTAGAAAAATAACGTGAATATAAATAGTCACGAATATGTAAAACTTGGATCTTTCCTTTTTTGACTGCATCAAGTAAATTTGAAAATTGCGAAATTAAATCATTGCAAAACAGATTAAAAAGGGCTTAACGCAAAATATAGTAGCCGCAAAAATAAGTTGGTTTCCAGTAATGACATTTTGATTCCTAATGAGACAACTGTCCATAATAAACTAAGTGTTTTGTTGTAAAAAGATAATCAGTCTAAAATAAGTTCCTTTCGAAATTACCACACAATCATTTGAGCAAAGTTGCATCTCTATTTGAAAATAATCAAATACACAACCAATAAAGTATTTATTCATTCAGTCAAAAAAATGTTACACTGACACTAACAAAAAGAAAGTTTTATTTAAAAGATCATGGTTGTAAATTCAGATGTTAACATAACATGTTTTTTTTTTAATCAGGTTTACTTCATATCCTATATGTTATCTATTCCATTTAAATTTACTTCCCTCTAAATAAAAGCAATGTAGTAGTTATAGTAATCCATGATTTACCTTTCCTCCTCATAAATGAAGGAACAGCCATTACTTCGTTTGGATCATATCTTTCCCCCTCAGGTACCTCCTATTAGTAAATAAAAACAACATTGTAGATATAAATAAATAAATGGAGATCTTCTTGTCAGTCAAAATATTCTTGTACCTATCCAAAGTCTGGAACCTTGTTTCTCAAAAATAGTTATTCCACAAATAATAATGAATCCACAGTGTGTCATATCTTTATATTTGTTGTTTAAAAGAAAATTTGGTGCTAACGTCAGATATTTGATGATTCGATTGAATTAATTCACAACTTTTATAGACATTTTACAGCTTGAAATATTGTAAAGACACCTGTCTATTGTTAAATACTGTATGTTGACCTCAATGTTGTTTGGTTATTTTTGTCGTTGGGTTGGTGTCTAATTGATATATACCTCACTTCTACTTTTATTCATATTACTTCATGTCTTGTGATACAGACCTGCATGTATGTAATTAGGATGCACAAAAGTGCCATAATATTTAGTATAATGAAATGTGCTATATACAATGTCTGATTAATAGTACTCACACTTTTTATTTTTGATAGATATTCCTATAGTGAACATTTCTATAATACACTGAAAGAATTAATACTTTCTTCAGTCAAGATTTTTAAAAGAAGAACATCAACCTAATTCGTTCAAATATTAAAGAGTTTTTAAGGTTTAGTAACAAAAAAGTTCAGACTTTGAATAAGGTCACCAAGTATTAAATTCATAGACAAATAACAGCAAAAAATAAACAAACAAACAAAAACAGGTTTAGCCATACCATTCTTCTCAATCTTTCTTCCATTTCTGCTTCCCTTTTCGCTTTCTTTTCTTCTTCCCTCCAGTTTAACTTCATCTGTCTTATATTTTGTTTCTGTCTGGTAATCTGAAGGCAATAGAAAATATCAATAATTCTGACATGTGGATAACGAATTACACAATATAGTTAGGATTGAGTGTTCCAGGTTGGACAAAAAGATAACCCTCCCTCAAGTCAATTATTGCCCCTATATCTTGTTGGGAGTGAGGGTCCCTGACTAATCCACATCTACCTGTAATGATATTTTTTAACTCTAGGATGGGTGTATGTGTTTTTTGATGCATTATAGTATCATATGGTTAATTAATAAGGATATGAAATGGTAAGAATTTAAAATTACCTCATCCACAGCTATATTATAGGACTGAGGCACCAATAGGGTATCATCATCAGCATTGAAGATACATGGATCAGACCTGGACCGCCTGAAAAGAAAAATCAAGGTTGGGTCACTTACAAAATGAAATGATAAAATATTCTAAAATAATTGCCCATTTTCAGCAGACATTTTAATATACTTACACATAAAATCCGAAGTCATTCTATTAAACAGAAAATAAACTGAAGAAAAATTGACATAAAAAACTGCTCACTTTGCTAGAATAGCTTTACAGTGTGAGAATTTTTTTAAAAAGTTATAGTTAAAAATATCTAATATCCTTAAAGGGAGATAATCCTACCTAAGAGGAACAAACACTGGGAATATTTCACTGTCTGGCATATCTCTTTTGTACCTAAACTCTGGTGCTGGAGTGGAAGCTTGGCTACCAGTATCTGCTGCTGAAAATTAATTTTGAATTTTTTTTTAATATAAGTACATCATATAGCTGAAAAAATAAAGCAAATTCAGGACAGAATAATATAAAGGAGAACACATTTTTATGGGGGACTTAAGTGGCCCTGTTCATACATCAAAATCAAATATTCTAAAATACAATCAATGATTCCATTTTTTAAACCTCAGAATAAAAGTTTACACAAATCATACATACTAGCTGTATCCAATTTAGACAACATAATTTTACTTCAACATATAAAATTATATATCATACCATGTCCAAGTGGCTCAGGTTTAGTTGGTGGTATTTCCCCTTTGAGAAGTTTTCTGGGTTCATAAGGATTAATTCTTCTAGATTTAATGTCATCATCTCTTTGTTTAGAAGCTTGGTCTAACTCTGACAAGTCTTTATAGGAATCGCTCTTTTTGAAAACCAATCTGAAAAGTCAAACATAAGGCATCATAACTTCCAATGTGATTAAAACGTTCAGCTGATTTTTACAGAGTTATCTCCCTGTAGTGTTATGTACCACCTTAAAGGGGAATAACTCTATAAAGAGTTAACTGATAATTTCAGTCATGTTGACATATCTGTAGATCTTTCTATCTATCTATTACAGTTTTCAAGATAATAGGCAAAAAAAGGTAAAATCATCATTAAAGGGCAATAACTTCAATAAGGAGTTGACTAACAATTTTGGTCATGTTGACTTATTTGTAGATCATGTCTTGCTGATCATTTTTTGCTATTTAAAGTTTCTATCTATCTAATATAGTGTTTAAGATATGCAGCAAGAAATGTAAATGTTGGTAAAAATCGTCATTATAGGGCAATAAGTCTAATAAGGAGTCGACTGAAGAAGTATTGAAATATGCAATTTTAGATTTTCACTTAAATTGTACCAAAAACGATATGAAATTCTTCAAAAGTAAGTCATGAAATCATTATGCTACATCTACCATACTTTAAATTTAATTTCAAAGAGGAGTTCAACACCAAGTAAATTATATACCTATATATTTCTTCATATCTCTCCTGTTCAATGTCGACCTCCATATCTTCTTCCTCTGACTCAGAGCTTTCGTCCATATCTTCCTGTTGTGTGGCAGACATTTCTCTTGTTTCCATGGACAAACTTTTGGATTCATAGTCTGGGAACAGAACGTCCTTGACCTTGGAAGGTGCCACATCTAACTTTGGGGGTGCAGGTGTCCAATACAATCTGGATTCATCTGATTTTAAAGATAATTTGGTTCCTTCTACTGATATTGATGGCTGACTAAACTATTTAAAAAAAAACATTATTGTCACAAAAGACATGTTATAAGTATAAAGAATTCATCGCACAATCACATAATACTAATTTCCCAATTTCTCAGTTTTTTTTCGTCTGTTTCTACTACAATTTGTTTTGGATATGAATTATGGGTAAAAATCATTGACATAATGCATATAATATGAATATTCACAAAGGTTAGAGGGGTGTATACCTCAATACGACAGCAACCCAACAATTGAAAAAAGTGAACAGATTTCTTCAGGGCTTTTGGTCATAAAACTTTACTCAGTACTCGGAGTACAAAATTTGTGCTCGAAACACCAAATCCAGGATTTTGATTGGTTGATTTCTGAGTCTGAGTAAGAAAATCGTGCTCGAAAGTTTTATGACCGCAAGGCCAGGTCAACATTACAATCTTAACCCATTACTTTGAATTTATGTTCTATAATATATATTAAGTATAGTGCCTTTATTTTATCCTTTTTGGAACTTCTCCTTTAAAAAAAAAAACCAAATAAATCTTGAATGTAATGAACCAAAACATCCTTTCCTACATCCCATAAAAAATGTCTAAAAAAGAAATAAAAGAAATAGTTTTACCCTTAGTCTCTTCAGCTCAATCTGAAAACAAAAAGCTACTGATTTTGTACAGTCTTATAGTAATAGCATATAACAAAATATGAAATTCTTAAAAGGGGGGTGGTAAAATATTTGCTAATCAAAATGCTAAAAAAATATTAAGCTTAGCTTTCTTATGCTTTGCTACCAGAAATTGACTCAAGAGGGTAAAAGATTAATTGGTACACACAAGAAAGATTTTGTGCTCTGATTGACAGAACAACATACCACTTCATCTGCTCTCTGTCTCCATATTTCTAAGGTTTCCTCTTTACTTTTATCTTTGTCAGATTCAGCCTCCTTTAGGATCCTCTGAGCAGCTGATGCTATTCTAGTTTCTTCTGTGCCTCTTGTTTCTGCAACATGTGACAGTTGTGAAGCGGTTTCTTCATCTAATGCATCATTGAAGCTTGGCCCTCTACTGGCAAACTGAAAACAAACATGCAAATTTTTCTGATAATTTATTGACAGAATGATGTTTTTCATAGATAAAGAATTTATTGACAGAACAAATGTATATTTGGTACATCTTAAATTTATGTAAGTTCTGCTTGAGTTTTGGTTAAAAAAATGAAAATAACAAATTATGAATTTCATGTGTCCAAATCATTTTTCTGGATTTAACAACTCTCAATTTAAAAAAAAAGCTGCTGTGACAGCAAATCTGATTTAAACAGCTCTAACTTACAAAAAAAAGTTCTGTTGCCATCTTCAAAGAATTGATAGCTTGCAAGAAAATAAGCTTACAGAAGAATGACTTCTTCAGTAAAACACTCAAAGACATTTTTTGAGTGAAATGCTACATATTTGAACATTAAAGTTGATTTCAACATCTGTATAAATGAGTGGTCTCATATTATGATATAACAATCAGCTCTAACAATTTATAAGATTTATTTCAGAATATCTTATATAATCTAGCTGAAGATATGTATTGGATATTTAACTAGTAAGTAATTATCAATTACACAGTCTATCCAGGGCTGATGGACAAATCTCTACTATGTCACAAGTGGCACAAGTCTATGTGACAAAGAATTCACGACACTACCAGTGTTGTTCAGGACTGAAGTTATTGTGCATGTGTAATTTATGTACGCAATAAGTAAATCAATCAGAGGTAAAACAAAGGTGTAGTAACTACATTTATGTTTTCAAACAGTCAATAGTACTTGAATAAAATTTTAAGACAATTTTCAAAAAAGTTATAGTCAATTTGAATATTTACCAAAAATGTCTGAAATTGAAGGTAACAGGATTCTAAGCTAAGTACAAGGAAAAAATTAATTTTCAATGTGATCATTATTAAATTCTTACTCTGTCTAATAGAAGAAACTTACTCTAAATGGTTGCTTAGGTACCAGGAATTTTTCTGGGGCATGATACTTTCTTCCAAGATGTCGGAACTGTTCAGGTAACTGGTACTCATTGGTTACAGTACAAAAATGGTGGATATGTTTTGGCGGGGTGGCAACCTCTAAAATTGGTTCCATAGTAGGTTCTCGTTCAGTAGCTGGTTGCCATGTTGACAAGAATGATACAGCCTGACTTTGCACAGTAATCTGATTGATTTCAGCTTTTCCTGTAGACCTTTCCTGAATGCCAATAGGTTTACCAGATACACTGACCAGATCTTCATACGTAGCATTTGGAGGTACAGCCAGATCTTCCCAGGCCTAAATTATTGACAGAAAGGTTATCAGTAACATAATAATGTAATAATACTAACAAAAAGGGAATCAATTTTAAAAAGTAGAAATTTTTTACCTCAACAAATCTACAAAATTTCAAAGATGATCCAAAACTACAATTACAGATACTGTGGATTCATTATTATTTGTGACATGCCAATTTTCATGGTTTTCATCGGTATGTGTAAACAAAGAACAAATTTTTCTATGGGCTTGTACACAGACTTTGGCAGAACCACAAAATCAAATGTTCATGGAAATACAATATTTCCTCAATCCACGAATATTGGTACCCAAGAACAAGAATGTGTCAATAGTACACGGATGCCCCACTCGCACTATCATTTTCTATGTTCAGTGGACCGTGAAATTGGGGTCAAAGCTCTAATTTGGCATTAAATTTAGAAAGATCATATCATAGGGAACATGTGTACTAAGTTTCAAGTTGATTGGACTTCAACTTCATCAAAAACTACCTTGACCAAAAACTTTAACCTGAAGCGGGACAGACGGATGGACGAACGGACTCACAGACCAAAAAACATAATGCCCCTACTACTATCGTGTAGGTGGGGCATAAAAATAAAAGAAGTACATACATGGGACATTATTAAATATTCACTTTCTCTTTAATAAGTTGATTTTTCACTTGCAGTTCAAATGTAATTCAAAATTATGTTGTTCATGAATTAGATAACAGTGACCTACTTTAGCAATATCTATGACCTCAGCTTCCTCATCATCACTACTGTCTTCGTATTCTGTTGTCATCTTTGTCAACTCTGTCACTGCTTGTGGAGGTATTTCTGAAACTTGTTCCTTAAATAGACATAATTATTATCATGTCAAATTTTTGTCCAATGAAATCATATTGGTTCTTTTCAGTATTTACCATCATAAAAGTGTAAGAAGTAATAGTTATCATTTATTAAAGGTGCATGTTATACATGTAGTGAAATCTGCATCTTCATAAAACACAAGCCCTAAAAGATATGCCCTGAAAAGTTTAAGCTTAATGATGTAAAATGTATTCCTTACAAGTTTCATTTTAAAACAAAACCAACAGTGTTTTTTATATAAATCAAGATCAGGTTTATTAATCAAAAACTTTTTAAGTCTTTCAAAAGAAATATTTGTTTACGCTAAAATCACCATATCTTTGAATTTTAAGGTTTCTGTGCACATAATTTTCAAAACAAATATCTTATATTTCTATGTCAACAGCAAGAAAAACTGTTGCAATGCTTTTCCTTCACTTCAAATAATTAAAGAAACTTGACAAATAACAAATGGGAGATAACTCACTTGCACTGCTTCATCTTTTCCTTTATCCTCTGATTTTTCGTCAGTGCTGGTAATCCCATCATCTATAATATATATAATTCATTTACCAAACTAACTAGCAATGATTCTTATGATAACATCAAAATGGTATACATCAAATAAACAGCTATTTGAATAGGCATGTATCATCCTGCTGAAAATCATAAAAGGGTTTATGTGGTCCCAGATATAAAGTCCATTATTTCAAGCCATAAATTATTTCAAGTTGATGTATAAACATGCCAGTAAGTGAAATAGAATGATTTTTTTTTAAAACTTTGCTAATGAACCATTGATATCTGCACCAAAGATAGGCCAAAATTAAAGATTTCTTACAAATTTGACAAAACCTCCTGGTTTTAAACCAAATTTAAGCCTAAGAAACAAGGAACGCAGGGTTCCACACTATTCAATAAAAAAGTTGTGTTATTTGTCATTACAAACATAATAATACAAGATATTTTGTTTTTTCTATGTCTGCACTTTATGTTTCCAGTCCTCAAAATGAAAGAATATGGCCTGTTTGTCAAAGAATACCATTCAGTACTATTCATCCTCATAAAAAAAATTTTGTTGGTCTGCAAATGGCTAACAAAATTGTTTGAGACAAAAACCAGCAAAATAGTAGTAAAAAACTATGCTCAAAGTGCAAAATTATGACATGTTTTAGACATAATCATTCAAGAAACTTCAATTTATACAACAGGCCACTCTTCTGTTGATAAGTATATTGTAGATTTTTTGATATTAAAGTACCTTTGGATTTTGATTCATCATCTTCTGTTAAGACTTCCTGTTTATCTGTCTCTGCTGTAAAACATAGTATTAATTATATAAGAGGGTCTGGATTGGAGGGGGGCTTCATTTCTTTTTATACCTTATTTTTCAAACCATTTTTACATCGCGATGACCTTGAGGTCACTCCGATGTATTGCTATCGCCTAGATTTCCATTATGTAAATTAGTTTTGGGTTTGTAACCGATCTATAAACATGATAAATATGCGCACATAAACGAGTGCAAAATAACATTCCTTGTCATTTGATATAAATACATCTCTTCAATGAATACTGATAAAAATATTTTTGTTTACAACATAAATTAATAATGTGAAAATGTTTTGTAGTTAGATATATATATATATAAGTAAAAAATCATTGATAATATCAATGCACACGTACCGAAAAATTGTGTTAAAGCATGCGGAAGAATATCTCAAAGAACGTTTTGCGACAGGACCGGTAACTCTGTAATTGTTTTTGCGGGAAAATATGAATGCCTACTCGTATCCAATCTTAGAAAAATCGAATTTTTACAGAAAAGTGTCCACCATGCACTTGCATTGCACTATTATTAGAACAGTAGAATAGAATGATATACAAACGGATGCAAATCATATATATATGTAACTGTTATTTTAATATAATATATAACAACAAATCAGTGTATACTGATTTGTATCACTACAATATAATAGTTATTACGGTGAAGTTGAATTTCCTGTCATTTATTCATCATACTCGCACGCACTTGTCTAGAAAAAAATACATCTCTGTACATTAACCTCAGTTTCAGGTAAAGAGATATGTTGTTTTTTTTCTGAGACAAGTGCTTTTGACCATCCTCAAGAACTTGTGGTCATCCGATGTTCAGTACTTCAGTACTTTGATTCTCTTTAGTTTTTGCCGATTACACTATTATGATGCTATTTTCTTATAAGTTATAAAAATTGTTCATTCTAAAAATACAGACATATGGATTTAAAACAAATCTATAAAATGTTACAGATATAAGAATTATTTATGAATATTGCTTAACTCCTTGTATTCATTTGTTTTGTAAGATATTAGATTACATGTATTAGTTGTTAAATTCTATGATATATAATATACACAGTTAGTTTATATAAGAAAGAAATAGAAGTCTGTCTCAATGTCTTATCTAAAGCTGATTACTAAAAGCAGTGTGAATTCAATGCAATTCATATGTACAGTTTTAATATATATATATTCATAACTTAGATTTAGATTTCAGGAGTCAAATAGAATAAATATTTGAATAACTTTAAAAACTACATATAAAGCAAATGGGGTTGAAACCTGTTTAGTCAAATTTCATTAGATGATTGGTAAATTGTTCAATTAAGAAAAAAACATGGTTCTTTATAAATGCATATCTGAAAAGTGAAGACAATCTTGATTAAAATTTCTAACATCATACAGCTTCCATATTAAGCAGAAAAAGACGTCTGTAAAAGAACTTTCTTGAAGGGTGTCAATTTTCATGAATTGAACATAACTGTTAATTTTGGGGTTAATTTTTATATTCCTGGTTTAAAATACAAGGTTGTTATTCCATTGGCCATTGAATCAAGTGGTTTTATTGAAAATAGATTTCATGAAAATGAATACCCCAAGAAAAAAATACTTGCACAGTCAGCTTCTCAGATAAAGCAAGAAAAATCAGTATTATACTAACTGTAATATCTTGATTAATATAAATATTCTTGGTTTTGTTAGTATACCACTATATAATTTCTAGTAATGATAATAAGTATAATTTGAATTATCCCCAAAAAAGAAAAACATTCTCCAAGAATTAGAACTACTGTATAATACTCATTGGAAATCATTGTGAGATACTGAAGTTATCTTTTAAAATACATTAAGATTTTCAAAATTTAACAAAACCAAACAGTAAATGAAAAAGAAAAATAGAAACAGTACCATGAATGTTGTAGTGATTAATAAATAATAACTCAGGCTTCAGTTTTTCCATGGTTTTGAATTTTTATAAATTATCATGAAAGATCTCCTGATTCTCAGATACAGAGAATTTCAAATTCTTAACATTCATGGTATTTCACTGAAAGAAACAGAAACTTGTTAATATTTTAACACAAAGCAGAAGACTGTAACTATTAGCAACTGTTAATGGAATTGTGGGACATGTTGTTACCACCTGCATCTGCTACTGGAGATTTAGGGCCTGCTGTATCATCTGGAGTGGATGATACAACATTAACTTCTGGAGGCTGTGGTGTTGGACCACTACTTTGAGCATCTTTAACAGATGTTGCTGATTCATCTGTGAGAACAATAATAGTAAGGAATAAAAAAGTTCACAATTACAACACTAAAGTAACATCACAAATCATATCACAAGATATCTTTATGAAACTATCAAAGGACTGTTCCTTAAATAACAAATGATACACAGGGAAGGCACTTTGAAAATGGGATATATCCAATAACCACCTAGAGAGGCCATTTTAGGAATTTCACTCATATTTTCATAATAAAAAAAATATTTTCACTCCCACCTTTAGTTGAGATTTTCCCTGGAACTCATGTTTGTTTTAATGGAACAGCCCTAAAGCAAATAAAATAAAAAGAATCTCAATAAATTTTCCAACAAATGTTTACCATCAAATTTTTTTTAAATGCTTGTCTTTTATCTTTAAAAAAAAAACTAATTACCTCGAGCAGAATCTGTTCCCATTGTCATACTGTCATCTTCAGCTGTAATGGAGAAGTTGTTTTTGTTATCTTTTATACAATTATTACAGATAAAGTGATTTTCTTGTACCTTTTTTCTTGTATGTTCTTTGAGGTACCTTTTGTTGACCTGCTGATCAAGATTAAAAGGGTTTGTTTGTGACATAAACTAGTTTATCCCCTCGTTATATTCATGTGTCTTTCCTATGCCAGGAACCACCTAATGGTTGCTTTTATCATATTACAGAATTTGGTGTTGATGGCAATATCTTTGAATATGGCAGTTGTTTTCCATTTGTTTGATGTATTTGAGCTTTTGAATTTGCTATTTTATAAAGGACTTTCTGTTTTGAATTTTCCTTGGAGTTCGGTATTTTTGTTATTTTACTTTTTGTTATAATTTCTGTTAAATTTTTCACAACTATTTTAGATTAAAAGTAATGCTGTAATCAATTTAAGAACCATAAATTTTATTCTAGACAACCTAGCATGTGATTTCTTCAATGTTGGCTCAGCAGATGTAAATTTTTATGTATAGGAAGCAAACATATGGGGTGGATGTACATGAGACAAAATCTCATCCAATACAGTAAATTCAGAAATTTTTGTGATGTTTTTACCAGTGGGAAAATTGAGATAGGATAGTTTTTACAAAAATCAAAAATTGCATCTAAAACTTTGATAACACTATTTGTATGCAGCATCTCCTGAAATCTTGTCTTTCTGTTCATTGTGCAACAATCACAATAAAAAATGCACCCACAAATTCAATAGTAACTATGAAAAGGTGGTCTTTTTGAACATATCATTGATATAAAGATTGATAATAAGCTCTTTATATAGCAGACCTTTGAGAAGCAAAGATGTTTTTCATGAAAAATATATTTATAAAATTCCATACTTCTTTTGTAGCAGTAACTACACGAAGGTAATAAAGTTTAAGCTATAAGATTCTTCCATTTTAACACACAAATCTAATCTATCACCAAAGCTCCTCAATACCAGCTCTTATATTCTCAAGTGTAAGTGTTACATTCCAAATGCATATTCAATTTCCAACAAATGAAGTGTCTTGTTTCTTTTCAATCTGTAATTTAATTAATTTTCAAAATACCAAAAAAACCTTATCACATTTTATATTGCATATCTTTTTTCACAGTGAAATGTCTTTCTTTTGTATAAAAAGAATTATGCTCATGAGGGCTATTCCAGAAAAAAATGTATGGGAGGGTTAGACACCATATGATATATTTTTCTGTGAGTAATAGGCAAATGATAGGGTTTGAAGCAAATACAATTCTGTCATAATGAAAAATAAAAGTTATCGGTGGTGAGGTATAACAAAAAAGTGTGGTCCAACCCGTATAAATTTTTTCCAGGAATAGTCCTAAGAAATAACATAATTTAAAAAAAAATTGCCCACTGTGATTACATATCATATTCTGTAGAAAAGAAAACTTCCTCTGAAAATGACTTTAAAGGTGACAATTGTAAACCAAGGATAAAAGAAGAAAACAAATATATCTTTTATAAAACCATGTGCTTTCATGTAAAATCTTAGAAACCTTGCTGAAAACATTCGTGACTTTCTGTAGTAAATAAAATTCAGGTGTGAACCTTCAGTTCCATGCAAATCAATAAAATATAACTTGTCATGAAAGTCTATTTGACTTTCTTTTTCATAAAGCTCCTTTGTGAATGTTTACTTACAAAAGAAAGACTCTACAATTAATTCAATATGTATTTTATGTATTGACATGCATATTTTAAATGTATCAAAACCAATGCAAACAGATGTTTATAATGTTACACTTATAGACTTTAAACCACCACCAATCAATCAGTCATGAAAGATGTTCATTATAAAGATGTTAATAATTTCAAATCTGTACTAAAAAAGTGTAGTTATAGTTTCTCCATATAATTATGTGCAAAACTTTCCTCTCTATTTTTATTTCAAACTTTTCACTGATTAAAATAAAAGATTTTGGGGTTATAGTTTATTTTTTAACAGATATAATCATTATAACTTAATTTCATAACTTGACTTAGTATATAGTCTACAATAGTTAACAAGATAACTACTATACCAATCGATTAAATATATAAAGGTTTATAATTACATAGGTTGAATTTAACCTTATTTTTATTTTTATTTTAACCCTAATTTCATATATACAATCAAATTTCAAACTGTAAGGAAAATTTTTGCAATTATATTAAAATATTGGTGGTCATTTAACTTGTATTCCATTGAAATTTTCCTGATAATTTTTAAGAGATATCTTACTTATAACAGCACTGGTTCTAGACATAACACGCTCCATAATCTCCTGAATTTTCTTATCAGCTTCAGATAGTTCACTACAAATATACAGAAATAAATTTTTACATTCTTGTCCTTTGGTCTTACATTGAAAGTTGTCTCATTGACAATCACACCACATCTCCTTTCTATTTATATATAAAAACTTTAATTCTAAAAAAAAATATATATTTTGTAAAATGAAATAGTTAAACTATCTTTCTATCATATGGATAGTGCATTTTGTAATTGAAGAGTGACTTATATCTAAACAGTTAATGTCCTAGAATTCCAACGCTAAATATGTGCACTGTTTTTTTATCCTGATGACCAGCAGTTATAAAGTAATAGAGTTAATTTGGCTGCAGTTCAATTTTTTGTAAAAATCTAATAGTACAATTTGAAAAAAATGTCACCAACAATCTTAAGGTTCAACAATATGTTCAAGTAATGTAAAACAACTCACGGCTTTTCTCTATTAGCCTTTAGAGATGATATAATCTCATCAACAGATCTTTCTTGTCTCCTTGGTGTAGGTTCTTCTGTTTCTTAATAAATTAAAAAAAAATCACATGACTTATAAGAAAAATTTGTAAGGGGTTCTGCGGAACCCTGTGTCCCACCTACGATTGCTGCTGTCAGTGTAAAAGTGTAATGTTGACTTAAAATGTGAGTCCATTTATCAGTAAAATACAGAATGTTAAAAAAGATTCAAATTTTCTCTTTAGATGCTATTTCTTGGTCTTGAAGATAAGCTTCTGTCCAAGTTTCATAACAATCCATGAAGGCTTACAAACTTATCATGTCAAAATGATTTAATCCCAGACTGTCAGTAAATGTTAACTGTAAAAAAAAGTCCATCCATCAGAAAAATACTGAAAATGAAATTATATTTTCAAAAGTGTGCTTCAGACATTATCTCTTAATCATAAAAAAGTTTCATAAAATTCTTTGAAGGTTTGACAAAGTATTTGATGTGTAACAAACTTTAACCCCAAAATGTATCTATTTGTTAAATGTAAAAAAAAAAAAACTAAGTCCATTTATCAGTAAAATACAGAAAAATGAAAATAAATATTTTCTAAATTTTGCTCTGGATACAGTATTTTGGTCATAAACAAGCTTCTGTCCAAATTTCATCAAATTCCATGAAGGTTTGACAAAGTTATTGATGACTGAAAAACATTAACCACAGACTGAATCTGAATGTTAAGTGTGAAAAAAAATTAAGTCCATTTATCAGTAAAATACGGAAAAATTAAAATAACTATTTTCAAAATTTTGCTCTGGATACTGCATTTTTGTCATAAACAAGCTTCTGTCCAAATTTCACCAAATTCCACGAAGGTTTGACAAAGTTATTGATGACTGAAAAACTTTAACCTTAGACTGAATATGAATGTTAACTGTAAAAAAATCACAGTCCATTTATCAGTAAAATACAGAAAAATGAAAATAAATATTTTCAAAATTTTGCTCTGGATACTGTATTTTTGTCACAAACAAGCTTCTGTCCAAATTTCATCTAATTCCATGTAGGTTTGATAAAGTTATTGATGTCCAAAAAACTTTAACCACAGACTGAACCTAAACGTTGATGCCTCCGACGCCGATGCCGACGGAATCTAGGATCGCTATGTCTCGCTTTTGCGAATAAAATTTCAAGGCCCGACAAAAATTAAAAAAATTTGAAACAAATGCCACTTTAATGATAAAAGCAAAGTAAAAGTTACAGACTATCAGATAACATTCAAGAATTTTCAGGAATAATAAATATCATGTATTCCATGCCTTGAAAGTTAAGGGAATTCAATGTTTCAAATTCCAAAGTTTTTTCAGTCACTTACTTATTCTTATTTCTGTACTGGATTCGTTATTGGTTTTTTTTCATTACTTCAATACAATGAATATATGTGTATTACAATATTTACGTTGCTGGATTGAAAATTCTGTGACTTACATTGTGTATAAATGTAATGCATCGTGTTGGAATATACAACACCAAGTTTTTAGTAGGGTTTGTTTCGCTCAGTCTTAAACTTTCCATGTAATTTTTGGAAGACTGTTGTTTGTCTTTTACTTTTATCTCTTGTTTTTTGTCATGGTTTTTGTTGGCTTTCTCCAACTGTTGATTTTGTATTGTTCCTTTGATATCTTTTTTATAAAACTTGACTTAAGGATTTCGCTCCTCTTGTTTTTGAATTTTTGCCAGATTTTCGGAATCCTCTGGTTTTATGCATGTTTTGCCATTAAATAATTTTGTCCACTAACCCCTACTTTTCTTTTCATAATTTTATTTCATTTAGTTTTAAAGCCATATTTGAAAATCTTATAAAATCCTTGTTATTTTTTCATATTTTTTAAAAGAGAAAAGCGGACAATGTTAAAAGTATGAAAAATCGAGAGAGAATCATTTCCCGCCAAATTTTCAATGGCTTATATCTCAAAAACAAGCACACGGACCCTTCATTTTTTTCTGCTTTTTTAGTTTCTTTATTTATATACTATCAATTTATAACAGTCTTTTAAAAAGCTTGTTATTTTGAAACAGAGTAGCGAACATCCTTAATAAAAACATAATCTTACCTCTTTTATCCTTTTTATGATCTTTCTTCTCTCTATGAGAAAGTGATCCTCTTTTATCTCTTTGTTTATACAGAGGATCTGCACCTGACCTAGAAATTCTTCTTGCCTCTTCCAAAAGTTCTTTTGCAGACCTGACCTGTATTTATAAAAATTATTGAATTTTATTTCATTCAATACCTACTCAATGTCATTGTTTAATTGATTGATTTTATTTATTGCTAAGGAAATAAACTATTTGGTATTTACATGGCCAATTAAATTTTTGTAAAGTGAACTGTCCTATTGAATACATAAAATAGCTATTGTTTTCTTTGGAGTTATTTCAGTTAGAACTCTAAATTTCTCCTTGAAAAACCATTCATTGATTAATTTGACTGAACAAAAAAAATGATATGTGCATTTATGAATTAATGTGTTGTTGGGTCACTCATTGAATAATTTTCTATATTTAAATTCTTGGATTTGTTATTCTATAAATGTCTAAATATCTATTGACTTACAGATGATACACTGGATGTAGAACTACGAGTATCATCATCGACTGATCTGGATGTAGTTCTGTCTTGGTCAATAACATCTATAGCATCATCATACTGGTGATAAACAGAGTCTTCAGGAAAACGTGTGTCTTTTAAACTTGGTTCCCCTTCAACTAATGCTGTTGTCACTGATTGTAAAATATATTTTATAACTCAAACTTACAGCTAAAGCAAATGCTAGTACATGTACTAAAACATATACATTGTTAATTCAGGAATTAAAAGTAACGTTTTATAAATGTGAAAAACTCACATTTTTTATCTAATACATAAAACAAAGTCTTCCAGAGTGTCATAAATTAATTGCACATTTCAGTCAGCTTTTACAGATTTGCATAAATAAAGGAGTAGGGGCAATAAGGCCCTTATTTGGCCCAAATAGTACAGCAAATTTAAAAGTTATCATACATATTTTAAAATTTGTTCTAACTAAATTAAGGTATAAGGTATTAAGAAAATAAAAATCAAATTTCACATTTAACGAGTAACCATGGCAACAAACCATGACGAAATTTGTATATTTTGTAAAATTTCTTGATTTTTCTTGTTTTTCATCAAATTTTACTAATTTTAGAGTGGCAAAGTATGTGTGCACCCAAAAAACAAATAAATCTTCTCTTAAAATTATTTTGCTGGTTCTTGGCTGCGCACGATGTTTCCACAATGGAAATAACAATGGAAAACTGCATAAATTCTGTATTTTTCATCGTTTTCATGAAAATGGTACATATTATGACGTAATTGTGACGTCATCAGATAAAAAAATCTGATGTCTATAATTTATATTTCTTGACTCTATGCATTTCCAAACATTATGTGTAAATTTGAAAAAGTTGTCAAAAATTTTACTTTCTTGGGCCAAAACCGGGCCTAAATGCCCCGCCCCTACTCATTTCTGAAGTTATATATTATTCCTTTTAAATGGTATGATAGATGTTTTTGTTTTATTTCCATCTAACTAATAAACTTTTAGCCATACTTACAAGTGCCTTTCAGTTTCCTTTTGAATGATTTTTTCAGTGAAGATGGAGGAGGCACTGGTTTTTGTCTTTCCATAAAATACATTTTCTGTGTTGTTCCTTCTGAGGTTAATATAGCAGGTTTCTTCTTAGATTCTTCAGATTCTAAGTCCAGTTTTAGTTCCTCCTTAAGTTTGTCTTTCTTTTCCCTCCTCCCTGATTCGGGTTCATATTTTAGTCCTTCTTTATCTTCAACCCTTGGTACAGGTGATGCTGGTGTTGTAGGGTGCATTTTGTTTGCCTAAAATATAGAACATAGAGATTAATATTTTGGGTTGTTTTTAATCTTAGTTTCATGGTCAATTGAAACAGGTGCTCAAAATATGAGAATTGGTTCAATGAATTTCTCTTTCGATGTCTAACCGAGAAAATGTTTGTGTCAGTTCTTGTTGTAATAATAAGTGTTAACTTTTTAAAACAAACTGAAGTAAGTAAGGATATACCAAACACCCTCATATAAACAAAAAGAAGGAAGCCCCTCTTCTGATTTTTTTTTTTTTATCAATTAAGCTTGTCCAAAGTTTGGACTAGGGGAAATTTGATCAAATATTTGAAGCTTTGCGGATGTCCATTGGTAGTTTAACTATTGCAAATATCTGTTTACCTGTCTACGCTACACATCGCCAGGTAAACTCAATTTGTGACAGTACAACTATTGATGGACGTCCGCAAAGCTTCAAAAACAATACAATTATTTCTTAATTCTTTGTAAATGTATAAAGTATGTCAGCCAAAGCTTTATGAATAACTTACCATAGCCATTTCATCAAGAGCTACATCTGTTTTCCCTGGAGCAACAGGTATTCCTTCCATTACTACTTTAAGATTTATGATTTCACCACTGAAAATAAACCAATAAATTGAAATAAACTAGGTTCAAACTTAGCATTAAGATAAGGATGTGTTTAATCTCTAGATGTACTGTGGATTCATTATTATTCGTTGGATACCAATTTTCGTGGATTTAGTAGGTATAGGTGAACCACGAATTAAAATATTCAACGAAGTACAAATTTGCTATAGATTTGTATGCAGACTTTGGCAAAACCATGAAATTAAATATACACGAAAATATAAATTTTTCTTTAATCCATGAAAATTGGTATCCACAAAAATAAAATGAATCCACAGTATTTTGATTTCTTGTGTTGTTGGGATGCTGTCTCAATGAAGCATGCCTCACATGTACTTTTATTCATACCAATCAATTAAATAAGAAAACATTACCATTGGTAGTAAACAGATTTATTTCTTTTTGCAGATTTATTATGTTATGATTAAGTAATTAATATTATTATTAAGTAATTGTCTCTGAATATACATGAAACACTTGTCACTGGACCTTTAAGGCTTAGTATGAAACATGCTTCATATGTTTTTCTCAGTTGTAATTTTTAGTTTTGCAATTTTGTGTCAACAAACTACTGATGAAGTCTAAAGGTTATGAGAAAATGGTTTAAAAAATTCTAAGGTACTTAAAGTATCTCTTAAGCTCCAGAAAATGTTTGAACAAGAGTGCACACGCTGGAATGTCTCACCTGCTTTACTGACCATTAATTTTATGCTGATAGTCCTAAATATAAAGTTTTACTACAAGTATCACATAAACTTAACATGATCAAAGAAAATGAGGTCAGATAAACCAAGCCAGAAATACATGTACACCTTAAAATCAACATACACCAAATATAGTTGACCTATTGCTTATAGTATACAAGAAAAAGACCAAACCATGAAAACTTAACATTGATCAATGAACCATGAAAATGAGATCAAGGTCAGATGAACCCTGCCAGACAGACATGTACACCTTACAATCATTAAATGCTTTAAATATAGCTGACCTATTGCATATAGTATCTAAGAAACAAACTTAACCAGGAAAACTTAACATTGACCAATGAACCATGAAAATGAAGTCAAGGTCAGATGATAACTGCCAGACAGACATATACACCTTACAATCATTCCATACACCAAATATAATTGACCTATTGCTCAAAATTTAAGAAAAACAGACCAAATCAAAAAAAAACTTAAAATTGAGCAATGAACCATAAATAATGAGGTCAAGGTCAAATAAAACCTGCCAGACTGACATGTACATCCTAAAATATTTTCATACCATTAAAATGAGGTCAAGGTCAGATGACATCTGCCAGTTGGACATGTACACCTTACAATCATTCCATCCACCAAATATAGCAGACCTATTGCTTATAGTATCTGAGATATGGACTTGACCACGAAAACTTAATTTGTTCACTGATCAATGAAATGAGATCGAGGTCAAGCCAAAACAGTCTGACAGGCATGAGGACCTTGCAAGGTACACACATACCAAATATAGTTATCCTATTACTCATAATAAGAGAGAAATTAAGAATACTAAAAATCTTAACTTTTTTTCTAGTAGTCACTGAACCATGAAAATGAGGTCAAGGACAACGGACATACAGCAGACGGAAACTTCATAACATAAGGTATCTATATGCAAAGTATGAAGATCCAGGTATTCCATCTTCTGAAATATTAAGCTTTTAAGTTTGTTAATACCACAGTGGCCGCCGCCAATAAATTCAACATACCTTTCTCTGTTTGGCAAAACCCCAAGAGAAGTAACTTTTGGCATCTTCATTTCTGAAACACAAATAAGAAAACAAAATAATTCATTACATGTAACAGATTCTCAGTAACAGATATAAAAGAAGTAGAAGACGGACAATTAAAGTCCCTAATATGGCAAAATTTTTAACCTTGTGTAAAACAAATGTACAGAATTAAAATTTTACTAACCTTGTGTGGTAACTGTTTGATCTTTACTATATGGTAATTTTCTAGTTTTTTCTTTTGGTTCTTCTACATTTTTTCCTTTATCCAGAGGGTTATAAGGTACAAGCATAAACTTTGGTTGTTCCTTAAATAGAATTAATATATTTCATACATAGATTCTTTCCCTGCTTTAGCCATGATATGGTAGGGTGAAGGTTGGCACCTATTAAAACGTTTAAACCCGCTGCATTTGTTTGCACCTGTCCTATGTCAGGAACCTGATGTTCAGTGGTTGTTGTTTGTTAATGTGGTTCATAAGTTTTTCTCGTTTTTTATATAGATTAGACCGTTGGTTTTCCTGTTTGAATGGTTTTACACTAGTCATTTTTGGGGCCCTTTATAGCCTGCTGTTCGGTGTGAGCCAAGGCTCTGTGTTGAAGGCTGTACTTTAACCTATAATGGTTTACTTTTACAAATTGTGACTTGGATGGAGAGTTGTCTCATTGGGACTCATACCACATCTTCTTATATCTATGATATCTTAAAACACATAAAAGTCTCCTGGTATCCTGATTCTGTTGCAAAAGAATGGTTACCCTATACACATGTCTATGTATAAAGTCTCCTGGTATGATGTACTGAATTGATAGAATACTGTTGAAGTTTTTTTCTTAGTCTGTATCAATTTTCTCGATTTGTAAAAATATCATTGGTTCATGTGGTTTTAACTTTGTGGTTTTACGATTATCACATTAAGACTCAATGTAAAATAAGTATTACATCAGGTTCTATACGTAGAGGCTGGAGGCCAATCAGCTCAGTAATCAAAGAAAATGGTAACAAATGAACAAAAACTTTCACCGAAGATATTGAACCAACTGCATTTACCGGAAATTACACTATTTGTTCATGTGATTTAATTTTTTTTTATGGTATTTTATTGGTCAAAATTACATACAAGTTTTACAGATTCACAACATTAACATTTTTACTAAGATATCCCACTCAAATATTTTAATACAAACTTAAAAAAAAAAAACTGAAATAAATTGAAAAAAAACAAGAGTGCACACGCTGAAATGTCTCGCCTTCTTTATTAATCATTGATATTATGTTGATAGTCCTAAATATAAAGCTTTATTACAACTGTCACATAAACTTAACATTAACCAAAAAACTAAACATTGACCAATGAACCATGAAAATGAGGTCAAGGTCAGATGAACCATGCCAGGCAGACATGTACAGCTAACAATTCTTCCATACAACAAATATAGTTGACCTATTGCTTATAGTTTTAAGAAAAACAGACCACAACACAAAAACTTAACACTGAGCAATGAACCGTGAAAATGAGGTCAAGGTCAAATAAAACCTGTGCGACCGACATATAGATCATAAAATATTTCCATATACCAAATATAGTTGACCTTTTGCATATAGTATTAGAAAAAAAGACCAAAACTCAAAAACTTAACTTTGACCATTGAACCATGAAAATGAGGTCAAGGTCAGATGAAACCTGCCAGCTAGACATGTACACCTTACTATCATTCCATACACCAAATATAGTAGACCTATTGCATACAGTATAAGAAAAACAGACCAAAACACAAAAACTTAACTATAACCACTGAACCATGAAAATGGGGTCAAGGTCAGATGACACCTGCCAGTTGGACATGTACACCTTATAGTCCTTCCATACACCGAATATACAAGACCTATTGCTTATAGTATCTGAGATATGGACTTGACCACCAAAACTTAACCTTGTTCACTGATCCATGAAATGAGGTCGAGGTCAAGTGAAAACTGTCTGATGGGGATGAGGACCTTGTAAGGTACGCACATACCAAATATAGTTATCCTATTACTTATAATAAGAGAGAATTAAACGTAACAAAAAATCTGAACTTTTTTTTCAAGTAGTCACTGAACCATGAAAATGAGGTCAAGGACATTGGACATGTGACTGATGGAAACTTCGTAACATGAGGCATCTATATACAAAGTATGAAGCATCCAGGTCTTCTAGCTTCTAAAATATAAAGCTTTTAAAAAGTTAGCTAACGCCGCCGCCGCCGGATCACTATCCCTATGTCGAGCTTTCTGCGACAAAAGTCGCAGGCTCGACAATAAAACAACAAATGAAGTTTCTGCTCTATTTTATAAATATATAAACATTTATATGTGTATGTTGACATCTAATCTTTTGGTTATTTTTGTCATTGAATTGCTGTTTAAGTGAATTAAACTCTTCATCACCTTTTGTTCATATAATATTTACCTTCAAATCTTTATTGAGTAAGTCTTCATGATAAATTGGATCTCTTTTCCTTTTTTCTCTTTTCTTTTCAGGAACAAAAGCTGGTTGAAGTTTTCTGCAATTCAAACATCAACATAGATGTATCACTTTTGGTGAATATTAACTATGGGAATATCTTGTGTTTTTTTTGTTTTTTTTTTTTTTCAGTTTTCCATGGACTAACTGACAGAACTTTAATTGGTCAGTTGCCATAAGTATTGATAAGACCTGATTTACTTCAGATTCATTATTATTCATGGGAAACCAATTTCCATGGGTATAGGTTAACCAGGAATTTAAAATTTTCAACCATTCACAAGTTTTTTATAGGCTTGTGTTTACACTTTGGCAATTAGAATGTTATTTCATTTTTATTAGGACAGGAAGACGTCAAATTTGAAATTCAACACAATTTAGTATGTGGTTATTTCAATAAAAGAAAATCCCTGAAATATGTAAATGGGTGCTGTAAAAGTAATTTGTTCACAGGGAACCATTAATTGTTGTAGATTAAACAAACAAGAGTGCACACGCTGAAATGTCTCGCCATCTTTATTAATCATTGATATTATGTTGATAGTCCTAAATATAAAGCTTTATTACAACTGTCACATAAACTTAACATTAACCAAGTAAACTAAACATTGACCAATGAACCATGAAAATGAGGTCAAGGTCAGATGAACCATGCTAGGCAGGCATGTACAGCTAACAATTCTTCCATACAACAAATATAGTTGACCTATTGCTTATAGTTTAAGAAAAACAGATCAAAACACAAAAACTTGACACTGAGCAATGAACCTTGAAAATGAGGTCAAGGTCAAATAAAACCTGCGTGACTGACATATAGATCATAAAATATTTCCATACACCAAATATTGTTGAACTATTGCATATAGTATTAGAAAAAAAGACTAAAACTCAAAAACTTAACTTTGACCACTGAACCATGAAAATGAGGTCAAGGTCAGATGACACCTGCCAGCTAGACATGTACACCTTACAATCATTCCATACACCAAATATAGTAGACCTATTGCATACAGTATAAGAAAAACAGACCAAAACACAAAAACTTAACTATAACCACTGAACCATGAAAATGAGGTCAAGGTCAGATGACACCTGCTAGTTGGACATGTACACCTTACAGTCCTTCCATACACCAAATATACTAGACCTATTGCTTATAGTATCTGAGATATGGACTCGACCACCAAAACTTAACCTTGTTCACTGATCAATGAAATGAGGTCGAGGTCAAGTGAAAACTGTCTGACGGGCATGAGGACCTTGCAAGGTACGCACATACCAAATATAGTTGTCCTATTACATATAATAAGAGAGAATTTAACATTACAAAAAATCTTTTTTTTTCAAGTAGTCACTGAACCATGAAAATGAGGTCAAGGACATTGGACATGTGACTGACGGAAACTTCGTAACATGAGGCATCCATATACAAAGTATGAAGCATCCAGATCTTCCACCTTCTAAAATATAAAGCTTTTAAGAAGTTAGCTAACGCCGCTGCCGCTGGATCACTATCCCTATGTCGAACTTTCTGCGACAAAAGTCGCAGGCTCGACAATTACAATACAGTGATGCACATGTTTTCCTAAAACTTGTAATAGGGCAAGTCTCATAAATACATTTTTCATTCCTTATCAAAGATTAGTAAATTTTCAGACTATTACATCATTATCTTAGAAATAGAAATAGTAACAGCTAGAATTGTAATAGAAGCTGTTTTAAAGATAAAACCGCCACCTTAAAAAGAGCTCTCTTCTTAAATTTTTGTCTGAAGGTTTTTTAAGAAAATTTTCTCATTGAATATTTCAGATCCTGTGTTTTCCTGTGTAGGATTTCGTTTTACACACAAAGATTACTTGGAAATCTATACAGTGTTGGGGAAAAATAAAACGTTGTCTGCATGGAAACACCAACTTTTGGATGATGTCACCTTATGGTAAGTTTTTATCAGGGTGAACCTGGGTTAAAAATAATAAGTGTGGTCAAATTTTTTAAGTTGAAATAATTTTCAATCATTCCATTTGCTTGATTCGCCTGTGTGAAATACTATTATAGAGGATGCAAAGAAAAATGTCATGTGATACAACTTTTTTAACCTCAAATTGGCAACAACAACAATTTCCTAACTATTCTTTAATATACTATACTACAGTTATATCCTACAAAGATAATTTTATCAAATGGAAAAAAATATTACAGAATACAGATTAAGAGAACAGATATTATAGTTTAATTCATAACTACTAGATAATAAGATTAATTCCTGTCCGGCATAAAAATGGACTACAACTCAGCAATATATGAAAAATAATAGAAATACAGTGTAAACGGAATCATCTACTAACACATAAAAATTGCTAAACATATATATATATCCAGTACCATACAAATTCATTTAATGCTTGATATTATTGCATCAAAACAGAACTGTAACCTTCAGAAGCATAGTAACGAAATTTTAAAAGAAACCGTAAACAAAATGTACAGTGCAAAAAATAGCATGTGTGCATCCCTACTACGATTGAAAAATGTGTTTGCAAGAAATAAAATGTCTAGGTAGAAGAGAATGGTCTATGTTCTGATTTAGGTTCCAATTTCAAAATCGTTCTTTGACAAGACATTTTTTCACTAGAATATCAAATTGATAAATCAATACCTTATTATTAAAATTTATCTAATTCAAAGCACTGAAGTGATTAAGATCTATACAAAATCAACAATGTTCAAGATTATTTAAGTTAGAATAAAACTTTTAAAAGGAATAACCCAAATCAGAACTTTCCTAAAAATTTAAAGCATTTATAGATCTAAATTATCACACAGATATATTACCTTTCTGGCCATTTACTGATAACAAAACAGTATTATATATATATGTAAATAGTAAATTTATAAAATTTTGTGTCATGTGCAAATTTAAAATCAGACAGATCATGAGAAAAGATCCTCTTGTGATCCCCATCTGACTGGATGTTTTCATACTACACATGTATGGACATATGAACATACCAGTATATCTCTCACAAAAAAAACTCATATCAAATTTTTGCTGACATATCAGAAATAGTTACTGAGGCATCAAATTACTTTACCTGTCAAATCAAGCATACAAAAAGTCCAAGGTTATATTGCAAGTACCAGTAAAGACGAAAGTCAGACATAAATATACTTCTTAAAACTAAAACAAATGCCAAATGTTGTTCACCTATCATTTATAGTCACATGCCTTCAGAAATATGCCTAATGTATATAAGATGTTTTTAACAAAACTTCAATCTAAATGGGGGAAAAAACACCACAAAATTATAATTAATGACTTTACCATGTTGACACATTTTGTTGATTTTTTTATTCTTTGCCTATTAGTCTTACATTATGAGCTTAGATATATTAACCATGTACATAATATTTACCAGCAATGCTGTATAATGTAGGACATACAAATTGTATGTGATAGCAAGTTACAGCAGTACTCAAATTTTGTGTTTGTGCATCACAACATTTCTTGCTTATTTAAAAGCAATAAAAAAGACATAAAGCATCAAATTTAGTAAAGATGATCAAGTTCGATACTTTTTTTTTTGCCTATTACACTTTTTTCACCTGAAAATATCAAAACAATTACCATTTTTTATAATGAATGAATAACTAGTTTTTCTATATTTCTACATTGTTGTGTACAATTGCTTACCTCGCTGTTTTCTGTTGATCATCCAAAGGAGCCATTCTATTTAACTCCCTTTTAACAGCTATCTCTGTAATTGATTTCCTAGCAACATCCTCTAGCTCACTTCTTAGAGTTATCTCCACTTGTCTGTTTGTACCAAAGCGGAATGCTCCTCTTTCATCACGTCCAGGTAAGTCTCTTCCTGCCATATTTTATGTTCAATGATATTCAAATCTGAAAGAAAGTTATGAAAATAATATCAGTTGAAATTGTTTCAAACTAACTTTAAAGTGAGAATGTCAGGGAAACTATGACATTATTTGTTAGATTTCTTATTTCATCATTTTGATGAGACATTATTGTCCCACAGCTGTGTTTTCAATTATTTGCAATAAACCAGTTTTTTTTTTGTTTTTTTTTCAAAATTAAAAAAAAGTTCTAATATTATTTTCTTTGCTCCTCTTCCAAATGTCCAAAGTGTAAAATATTGATTTCAATATGTTACCAATTACAGTATTTTATACAATAACAGTAGCATTGCGTAAATACCCCATACTGTTATTATCTGCAGACTATACATGTATTTCTAATTAATTTGTAAATACTGTGCTTTGTTTGATCTGATAAAGACAAGAAAATGTACATATTTCGTTTTTTTAACACTTCTTGGGAATCCCGGTCATACATTTTAGGTGAGCAATGGAAATGACGTCATCACTTTATGACATCCCTGATTTTAGAAAACTTACTGTTTTCAGACAAAGTAATATCAAAAGTAAAAAATCAAAGCTTGTTATAGAACACAATTTTTTTTGGAACGATAGAATTGAAAAAGATTAATATATATATTTTAAAAATCGAATTCTAATACCTCTCTTAAATTCAGTGTTGCAAGTGACATAATTATATAAGTTCCTCATCAGTTCAGATTTAGCGAAAGGTGGAAGAGCTTCAGAACTTATGTTTTGTTAATTTCATTCTTACCTTACCACAAAATAGCAAGCTATGACATAAATTTTCAGATTGATAGTAAATTTCAATTATTAAGTAGCTAGATTCTGAAATGACAGTAACCAGTTCTTGTCAACCCATAAAATTACACACAAAAATCTCCACACTAGTAACCCTCTTTTCCATGCTTTCTTTACTTATAAGAGGATAAATAGTCTGAGTCTAGAGTGCTATACTTTACTTTTGGTACAAACCAGCAGTCAGGTGCATTAGCCTATTCGCCCATTTAAGACTTGGCTCTCATAAAACCAATAATCAACAAAAAAATTGCAGACAAATTCATGACATACTATAATTTCATGAACTCTTCTTTAGATAAGATTTTGTAATGATGTACATATGTGTTTCCAAAATTAGTGAAACCTCTGTTTTGGCAGTTATTTCTCCAAATGACTACATTGTATCATGATTTGGCACATATGCCTTTTTAAAATGATCAATTTTATACTACAAAATACAGTTAAGTTTGAACCAGACAGACTTTCAAGGATGCTATGCAAAAGTTATTACTTTGATGAAATTTGCCTTAAAATGAAACAATCTGAAGATGTCATAATTTTAATGGAAGATGGTTATAAATACAGTTACAGCTATGAGATTGCAAATATAAATTTATGCTTTAACTTATCCATTTTAATCCTTTCTGTCTTATCTGTAAAACAGCATAACAATCACAAAAACAATCTATTTATGTTCCATTGCAGAGATGATGAAATCGGGTAATGCACAATATCAGTATCAGGTCCATTCGCTCCCCACAAGTTTGCAACAAGGGTTCTCTCACACCCCATTATTTATTCAAATACAGGTTTAATTATAGGGTGTTTTAGATGTATTTATCAAAATCTTTGTGAACTTTTTAAATATTTTTTTTTTTGTGATTAGTTGATTAATTTTTAATTGTTAATGATATATGATTAATGTTAATTGGTATAACAAAGCTAATTTGGTATTATTGTTTTGTGTGAGAAATCATGATTGTTGTTATAATTAGCTTTGGTGTAAAGTAATATCAATGAAGATTCTATGCTTAACCTTTGTGGCTTATCTTTATTTTATGGCAATAGTCACACTAATAAAAAACACAAAAATATTATTCCACACCAAACTTTTAACGTGTAGGGTTGGAGCGTGTAAGGTGCTTACATGTTGGGTGCAAAAGTGAAAAGGGGCGAACATGAAAGGAAGTGAACATGATATTGGGCGAACGGACCCAGATTCCAAAATATCACCGGCCACACTGGACACGGGGGGATTACACTGTAACACTTTTTATGTTACAAGAATATTTCCAAATGAGTTCTTGTTTAGAAAAATTTGAGAAAAAGTGTGAATTTCTGATGACATCTGGTACTGGATCACAAAGATTTGTATGCTATACACGTCCTTGTGGACCAGTAAAACATTTTCCAATCTTAAAGTAAAGTTCGCTTTTACAAAAATTGAAACTACTGAGCTCGAATTTCTAATCGTAATCCTAATTAATCTAGTCAGTACCTAATATTGCAATGCTTTTTATAGTTGCAGTATATTTGACTATCGATAAATTAAGGAAAAGATCGCGTTACCAAATCGCAAATGTACCATCCTCCATATTGTTTACATGTTGTTGGGTTACAGGAAAGAAGGTGTAGTCGGCCCGAGAGAAAGTCGGACCGGAACGTGAGGGCGTACAAATGTCCCATCCTTTCTGTTGAATGAAAGCAACTGGTTTGTGCTTAGCTACATCTAGTGTTATACTGAAATATTGTTCATTAAAGGATATGACAATTAAACAGAATTTTACGAAATCATAAAAAAAGTTGTCTCACTCTATTCCTCTTCTGACGGTCCGAGTTGTGAACGTTGACCTTATGCTCGCCCCCTGTTGCTGTTCGTCCCAGATCTGTTCGTAACGTAATAATAATCATAATAATAATGATAATAATAATAATAATAATAATAATAATAATAATAATAATAATAATATTTTGTCTAGTTTCCATTGAGGTCTTTATCATGCAACTTATTAGAAGTTCCTTTATAATATTTCATTTCCAATGTATTGCTTATAACATAGTTTCCGGAGGAATTTCTGTTAGGAGTCGTTTTTACTCAAACTGTAATATTCATTACAAAGATTGACAAAATTCGTATGTTTTGATTAAATCTAATAAGTTTTTGGCATTAAAAATTTTGAAAAAATAATTATTATGGTTTTAAGGTGGTACCTAACACTACAGGGAGATAACTCTGTAAAAATCAGCTAAACGTTTTAATTACGTTGTATTGTTAATGAAATATTAAGCTTCTCAATGATCAAAATTAGTGTTTGTCAAACTGTTATATAACCAATGAAATTTTTCTGATAAAGTGGTTGGTTCAAATTTTTTGAAATTTTTATATTTTTGTCAAAGAGTCAAAGTAAACATTTTGTCAAAATTTTATGAAAATTAAACGAGCCAAATTAATATTAGTCAAGGTGTTGGGTACCACCTTAAATAAAACATTAAATTTCTTTATAAAGAAAATAAAGTTTGAGAGATATCCATAAAGAAATATAAAAAAAAAGTATAATATTAAAAATTGTCCGAGCCATATTAGAATAACTATGCTAAGTAGACCTATATTCGGTTCTGTTCAGGTACACTCTCATGTCTTTAGTGTACCCTATAAACTGGTACCGAAAAAGCTGGTGCATTATTTTCGCTAAAGTCTTAAATTAATGCTAGGCAATTGGAACCAGAACATACACAGACGAAAATGTCCAGAGTCAAGTTCAATGGAACAGTTGTACCAGCTATTAGAAATGCACTAAAACTAAACAGATACAGTAAGAAAAGTCTCTTACTTCCAGTAAACTAACACCAAATATCAAACGTCTGGATGCGTGCCCGTTTCAAAGAGACGCGTATACTGACTTTACTGTAGAGTAATACATTGTGTGGGTCCCTGTCACATTTATAACAATATTTCTGGTCAATCCTGACCTGCACAATCCCACAATCCGAATCACATAGATCAGAATAGTTTGTGCCTTATCACTTTTGGCCACTCAGAATTTCAGAATTTTTTTTATATATAAAAGTGCATGGACATATTACATACACCTTATGGCTTATCCCTATTTGTCTGCCATTACTGGACATTACAAAGGTTCCCGTAAAATTTTGACGTCATAAAAGAAAATATCTGACGCCACAATGGAAAAGTGATTGTTGTATGATGTCAATAGTTCAAGAGGCGCAGATTCTCGGGTCAAGTGTCGCAGATTTCCAAATAGCGATAAGGTCTATTTATAGTATTATACACCTTATCGCTATTTATTCCAATCTGGATAAGTTTTGAAATTACACAACTTTTTCATCCAGTTGAAGCTATCTGGGGCCCTGTTTAAACAATGTATTATGCATAAAACTGTTCAAAGAGACATGTTTAAACCATCTTAAACACTTCAAACAAAGCATTTTTATTACTTTAATTTGTGTTTCAAAAAAGTGGATCATAATCTGTCAAAGTTTTAAAATGTTCGCTTTCTAAACTTTTTCCTCCTTCAGCTCGTAACTGATGACCTTTGTTTTTGCGACTCTTGACCCAAACACGAAGTTGTCTAAGTGATTGTTTTTTTCCGGATTGGACTAAATAGCGATAAATTGTATTGTCACCTACAGTCAGGGGTAATACTTATAGCTTTCATGTTAATCCCACCCCAAGTTGATCCATCCCAATTAAGTGGAATGCTCACTTTTAAAGTTGATCTGGCCCCAGTTTAGAAAATATTTGACATGTTGTTTATAAATATTAATAAAGATTTTATGAACAATAGCAAAGGTGGAGATAAAAAATTGTGCCTTTGACGCATATTCAAATAATAATTCTCATTAGAGGAGCGGACATTTATTCAAAAATAATTGTTTTTAATATTTTAAATATTTATTAAAATTTCGTATCGAAGTATATCATTTTATAATGTAAAATTTTTCATTTAATCCCCTTTTTTGAGTAGGGATGATTATACAGTACAAGCAATTTTTGATATGGGGCTTGATCAACTTGGGGCAAGAACGACTTGGAACGAATAGACTTGGGGCCGGATTGGTTTGGGGCTGGAACGACCTGATACCATAATTATACAAGTCATGTTTATTTACTTGATAATGTAAGTAATGTTTAATTGTAAATTTGTAAGATTTGAATTTTATTTTCAAGGTTTGAGTAATCTCCCCTTTAATCTTCTCAAAAAATTTACCTATACATTAACCTAAATAATTCAGTCCCTCTCCGTAATTGATCTCTCCTACTTGTGAGGACCTGAATTCCTCACACACTAAAAACTCTATGAATCCTGGATTATGATTGGTGTCCTGTAGTCAAGAGAAATTTCAAGACAAGAAGGAAATAAGACTTTTTTACTCATATTAGTATAAAAAGATCTAAATGTCGAAGGGATATACATTTGTAACTCTACCTCCAAAATAATTTACCTGTACCAGTAAATAAAAAAAAACCACTTGTATAAGTATTACCCTTGACTGACAATTTTTTCTTATTATTTCATATATCTTTAAAATTGATATCCCTGCATAAGACAGGTTGAAAATGAATATATTGCAACACGATAAGCAGAAAAACAGTTGTGTACTACTAAAGTGAAAATAAATTTTGCATTGCAATTACACCACAATAATGATTTTAAAGAATGTGGTTTTTGTTTTTCTATGATATGTCAGATATATAGTGAAAAATCGTAAGTGGAAAATACTTATCTTCATCCACTGTACTCATCCAATCTTTTAAGATTCTGAGTCTGGAGTTGACAGTGTTTTCTGATTTTGCTTTGCTGATTTTTAGCTCACCTGGTAGTTTGGCCAAGTTAGCTTTTCTCATCACTTGGTGTCCGTCATCAGTTGACGTCATCTTTAATTTTTCAAAAATCTTCGCCTCTGAAACTACTGAACCAAATTTAACCAAACTTGGCCAGAATCATCATTGGGGAATCAAGTTTAAAAAATGTGTCCGATGACCCTGTCTGCCAACTAAGATGGCCAACATTGCTAAAAATAGAACTTAGGGGTAAAATGCAAGTTCTGTCTATTATTTTGAAAACCGTTATAAATAGAGAAAAAACTGACCAGGGCTAAAATGTTCAAAATGCTGAGCTCTACCAATTGTTCATTGACGTCAAAAGGCGACTTCTTATAGGAGTTATTGCCCTTAAATGACAAATTTTACCATTTTTTTCAATTTTGCCTTTTATCTTGAAAACTATAATAGATAGAGGGAAACTTTATGTGGCAAAAATGATCAGCAAGACAAGATCTTCAAATAATATGCATGGTGTAAATCGTCAGTCAATTCCTAATTCAGGGTTATTGCTCTTGGATGATGATTTTTAACAATTTTTTGCATTTTTGCCTTATATCTTAAAAATTATAATAGATAGATAGAAACTTAAATAAGCTAAATTTATCAGCAAGACAAGACCTACATTTAAGACAATATGAGGAAATTTTACAACAACTCCTTATTAGAGTTATTGCCCTTTAATGACGATTTTTACCAAAATTTTTGCGTATTGCCTTATATGATAAAAAATATAATAAATAAACAAAAACTTTAAATTACAAATATGATCAGTAAGGCAAGATCCACAAACGAGTCAAATTTTACCGATAAAGTTAGTAGACAGTCTCTGACTGTCACTCTCCATTGGATTGATTGCCCTTAAATGAGGATTTTGTTACCCTCTTTTGTGTTTTGGGCAAAACTAAAGAAAATAGAGAGAAACTAAACAGACAAAATGATCAGCATTACAAGATCAACAAAAAAGAAATTTTTGTCATGTATTCTATTATTGGCTTCAATGTTGGAGAAAGTCCATTGTTGATTATGCAGATAGACCTACATGTAGGTGAGCGACACAGGCTCTTTAGAGCCTCTAGTTTTGCATTATTGCCTAATATCTTAAATACTACAATAGATAGAGAGAATCTTATTTAGCAAAAATGATCAGCCGACAGGATCTACAAATAAGTCACCATAGCTGAAATCTTCAGTTGACTCATTTAATTAGAGTTATTGCCCTTTAATGATAATTTTTACCATTTTTTTCGTATGTGCCCAATATCTTAAAAACTATAAAAGATAGAAACTTTAAACGGCAAAACATTTTTATACATTTTTTGCCTATTATCTTAAAATGTATGATAGATAAATAGAAACTTTGAAAAGGAAAAAATATCAGCAGGATAAGATCTACAAACATGTCAACATGACTGAATTTGGCAGTTAACTCTTAATAGAGTTATTCCCCTTTTATGATGATTTTTACTAAAAGGTGGCCATTGTTGAAGATGCAGGTGAGCTACACATATTCTTTAGCTTCATTTCTGTATTCTTTAATATTTTATGTCATTTTTCTATTCTTTATATTTTATTGGCCATTATTCTCTATTCTTTATATTTCAGCACCCCATTATTCTCTATTTTTAATTAGGGCCCCGCCGAATGGCGGACACCCTTTAGTGATCAGTCTGTCCGTAACAAATTGTGTCCGCTCTATATCTAGAGAACCGTTATGATTTCAAAGTTTATACTTGACATGTATATTAACCAACACCAGAGGGTGTGTCATAATGTATGTACAACTTCCTAGGTCAAAGGTCAAGGTCAAAAACTTGTTTCAGTTGACAACCCCATGTCCGATGATAAAGATACAAATTTTTTACCACACATTATTCACAGCGGGGCCTACAGAGATGGCTCCCATCTCAATGATATCTAGTTTTTTTATACCCCCGCTTTATTAAAGTGGGGGTATACTTTTTTACCTCTGTCTGTCTGTCCATCCATCCATTAGTCCATCCATCCGTCAGTCTGTCCATCCGTTCATCCCATGAATATTTTCGTCGCATCTTTCTCAGGAACTACATAACAAAGATTTCTGAAATTTGGTTTCAGGATTTATATAAGTCAGCTATACTGTATGATGGGTTTTCAGATTCATCACTCAACAACTTCCTGATTACCGAACACTTGTATCATTTTACACATGATAGCGAAGTTGAAAATTTTTGTCACATTTTTCTCAGGAATTACAATACAAGGATTTCTGAAATTTGGTTTCAGGGTTTATATAAGTCATCTATACCGTGTGATGTGTTTTCAGATTTATCACTCAACAACTTCCTGTTTACCAGACACTTGTATCATTTTACACATGATAGAAAAGTTGAAAATTTTCATCACATTTTTCTCAGGAACTACAATACAAGGATTTCTGAAATTAGTTTTCAGGGTTTATATAAGTCATATATACCGTGTGATGTGTTTTCAGATTCATCACTCAAATCACTCAACAACTTCCTGTTTATCGAATCAGTGAGCAGTAGCTAGCATTTTCACTATTTTGCTCTATTTTTCTCTATTCTTTTTAGCTCACCTGGCCCAAAGGGCCAAGTGAACTTTTCTCATCACTTGGCGTCCGTCGTCGTCGTTAACTTTTACAAAAATCTTCTCCTCTGAAACTACTTGGCCAAATTAAACCAAACTTGGCCACAATCATCATTGGGGTATCTAGTTTAAAAAATGTGTCCGGCGACCCGGCCAACGTACCAAGATGGCTGCCATGGCTAAAAATAGAACATAGGGGTAAAATGTAGATTTTGGCTTATATCTCTGAAACCAAAGCATAAAGAGCAAATCTGACATAGGGTAAAATTGTTTATCAGGTCAAGATCTATCTGCCCTGAAGTTTTCAGATGAATCTGACAACCCGTTGTTGGGTTGCTGCTCCTGAATTAGTAATTTTAAGGAAATTTTGCCGTTTTTGGTTATTATCTTGAATATTATTATAGATAGAGATAAACTGTAAACAGCAATAATGTTCAGCAAAGTAAGATCTACAAATAAGTCAACTTGACCAAAATGGTCAGTTGACCCCTTAAGGAGTTATTGCCCTTTATAGTCAATTTTTAACAATTTTTCGTAAATGTTTGTAATCTTACAAAAATCTTCTCCTCTGAAACTACTAAGACAAATTTAACCAAACTTGTCCACAATCATCATTAGGGTATCTTGTTTAAAAAATGTGTCCGATGACCCTGCCCACGAAACAAGATGGCCGACATGGCTAAAAAATAGTACATAGGGAAAAGGCAGTTTTTGGCTCGTATCTCTGAAACCAAAGCCTTTAGAGCAAATCTGACAAGGATAAACTGAAATTTTCAGACCAATCAGGAAACACATTGTTGGGTTGCTGCCCCTGAATTGGTAATTTTAAGAAAATTTTGCTATTATCTTGAATATTATTATAGATAGAGATAAACTGTAAACAGCAATAATGTACAGCAAAGTAAGATCTACAAATAAGTCAACATGACCAAAATTATCAATTGACCCCTTAAGAAGTTATTGCCCTTTATAGTCAATTTTTTACAATTTTCATAAATTTTGTAAATTTTTACAAAATATTTTCCACTGTAACAACTGGGCCAAGAATGTTCAGTAAAGTAAGATCTACAAACACATCACCGTCACCAAAACACAATTTTGTCATGAATCCATCTGTGTCCTTTGTTTAATATGCACATAGACCAAGGTGAGCAACACAGGCTCTTTAGAGCCTCTAGTTTTTTCTTCTCTTTATTCTGCACTTTTTGCCCATTATTCTCTATTCTGTAAACACCATTCACACCCTCATATACCTCCCATTAGGCTGATTAGATGTTTCTGCAAATGGTACACTGCAGGTATATTTTATAATTAATTAAATATTCGCCAGATTTTGGCATAAAACCTTTAAATTGATGTCAGGTGAGGTGAGCACAACTGTTTTTACTATCTGAATTTTTAGGTCCAATAAGGAAAAATGTACATGAAAGTAGTTGACATGCATGATATGTAATGAATTAATTTGTTTATTGCAGGAAAAGCAGCATATGAATACAGATGGGACCAGTCAGTTGATCATCTGTTTCCAGAGCACTATAAACAAAAATGTGAGGAATTTATGAGACGATTGCCAAAACCAGTTCACTACAAACCAGCTGAGAGCAAGTGGAAAATCAGTCCAGTGACTGACAGATGGTTAGAACTAATATGAAAAAAACACTTTTACTGTAGAATAAAGACAAGCAATACTAGCAATATCAATAGTTTTTTGTCTCACCTGCAACCAAAGTCTGACAGGTATCATCTGTCCTTGACCTCATTTTCATGGTTCCTTGATCAATGTTAAGTTTCAGTAGTAAGGTCCTTTTCTAAGATACTATAAGCAATAGGTGACTAGGTCAACTGTATTTGGTGTGTGGTATAATTGTTAGGTGCCTGTCTGGCTTGGTTTATCTGACCTTGACTCATTTTCATGGATCATTGATAATCTTAGGTTTATGTGATACTTGTACAAACAATGTAGTAAAACTTTATCTTTAGGACTATCAAGATAAAATAAATCATGAATAGTAAAGCAGGCGAGAAATTTCAGCGTTTGCACTCTTTGATAAACAGCTGGAACAGAGAAATATTAATTGTATACATCAATAGGCAGCAGTTTAACCCAGAAAGAAAACATATACGAATTTCCAATTTGTCACCAACTAAATTGTCTTGCTGGGATTCTCTACTTTTTCTTTTCAGGGAGGTAAACAATGATGAACCTGTCTATGTGATATACCCAGAACAGTGCAATGATGGCCTATGGGGTGGCGAAGGAATCGTTCAAGGGGAATATATTGCAAGATGGAGGAGGAAACGTTCCTTAGAGTAAGTTGCATTAGACTTATTTCTTGATGTAAAATGATGCTAGGTATATCTAATACTGGTGCACAAACATAGCATAAATGCAAATAAGTTGTGGCACAAAAGGATACATTTTTTTTTTTGTAGCAAATGGATATCATCTCTCTTAGGCCCTCTATAATATTGTGTAATTGAGCATCGGCAAGAAAATATTAGAACCAGACATACACAAATAAGAAAACATGTTGTTTACATGCTGCCAAATATAAACTAGATGTTTTAAGAACAAATTGCTCATTTTTACAGGACAACAACCAGTTACATGTGTAGTAAAATAATTGACAAAAATATGTACACATGTATGATGCAGATTTCTTTGTCACAACACTTGTTTCTGGGATTTCTGAAGGATTGCTAAAAACATAAGAGGGGATAATGGCAGTAATTGAAGATTTTTTCTCAATTTTGTGAGACTCCTTTTTTATGAAAATTTACAAATATAAACAAACATACTCGGAGACAGCTTCCACTGATGTCAGATGAATTAACTAAAAGCATAGAGACAATGCTGTTCTTCATCTCAAAGTTGTAAAGAGGCCTTGAACATGGAGCAAAAACTCTCACCTCAGTGCACAACTATGGGTAATAAGTTTATCCATAACACAAATTATTTTTGTTTTTCAGATTTCCAAAAATATGGCGACCCAATTTGTTAAGGAAGGTATTTTACAGTGAAATTTTAAATAAATGGTACCATGTAGTGGTTACACCTAGAACATTAGATTTAATAGATGAAGCAAATGGGTTTGATAATTACATTTTAAAGGTGAGTGTTTAGCTTTTGTGACTGAATGTTACATTTATCTTTAAAAAAAAATATTTACATTTTGTAAGATGATTACAATTTACTTTGAGGTAAAATATTTGGGGGAATTTTTATAAACCTCGCCATGCATGAAATTTAAATTTAAATTTATTATTTTCTATAATTGTTCAGATATCTTTCTATAATTATCAATTCTTGATTGATACATTTGTACTATCATTTCTAGGACAGCTCTGAAGATATTATTTACCGGTATGCTAAAATGCTTTACTGGAGAATACGAATTAATTTCTCTTTTCTCAATCCAAGCAAAGAAAATACAGAAAATCTATTTGTAGCACTATAATTACAACGAATAATATTGAATAATGGATTTAAAGCCTGGAGATTTAAAGTTTATCTATTTTACAGACGCATGAGAGAGATCTGAATTCTAGGCTGGGTATGAATTTTAAAAGAGCCATGTTGCTAGCTTTGGTAAGGCAAGATATGTATCCTGATGACCCAGAGAAAAGGCAGAAGATTTCTGACAAATACAAAGAATTTATTATTCCGGTAAGATCAGTAACATAATAGTATTTAACTCATGTCTTAACAATTAAAAATTGTATTTTAGAAGACACATTAGCAAAAAATTAACTTATATTCAAGATTCCAGTTCAGGAAGGAAAGATCTGTTATGAGATCTTCTTTTTAGCACTTTTAATTAAATATCTTTTATAACCTTCAGTTCTAAAATGAAAAGTTTTCGATTTTATTTTCTTGTGCATGAAATGAATCATCAGTACAATACTTGGTTTCTTCATAAAGCCTCAAATTAAAAAAAACCACTACTGATTACACTATCAGGTACTGCTCTTTCTACAAAAAAGTTAGAGCCAGAAAAATCACCAGCTGTTATATTAATTTGCTAGCTTTGAAAACTTAAAGCCACCTAAAGTCTTGATTTTCTCTACCCAAACTTACCATTACAAAAACAAACAAATAAATCATGATTTCTTGTGTTTTACAGGAAGAAGAGGCTGAATGGTTAGGTTTATCAATTAAAGAAGCAATTAAAAAAGGAAGGAGACTCCAGGAAGAAAATAATCCACAAATTCCATTGAAGTATTCACTCACCAAAGTCTTAGCACTTAGGTTACAAGGTAGGTTGATATAAAAACAAACAGTTAGAGGAAAATAATCTATTAGATATTCACAGAACAGTATTATATGTGTATTATCATATTTACCTAGGTATCATTGTGCAAAGCTGTAGTGAAATCAAAGCTTTGCACTGTTGAGAAGTTTTGAATTGACAATACCGGTCTTGAACCAGGTTTATCAACCATGGAATAAAGTATTACCCAGCAACAATGATTTGTCCTGGTGATGGGATGGTAAAATTTGAAAACATTATAATTGTGTTTTTAAAGCAGGAAAACACAAAAATGGATATGATACAGATTACTGTAAATTCAGAAATTTTTACAATGTTTTTATTCTTGCAAAAAATTACAACAGGATAAGTTTTCAATTTCAGGTAGACAAATTGATATCTACTGGTTTTGAACAAAATTTCACCAAACAATGAATAATTTTAGAATTATAATTTGTAAAAAAAACATAATCATAGATTAAGAATTTTGATTTCCAGTCCAATATTACCAACAAGTGTTTTTTCCTGGTTTGGCCATCTGGGACAAACTCTAATGTTTATCCTTATTTTCTATTTCAGAAATCTCTGAAAACAAAGACCAAGATTCTGTGGATGAAGGATTGACAAATAAATTCAAAAAACTTAATCCGTTTTCGAAGTCAGATGACAAAAGAAGTTGATATTAACTGAAATGTACATGAATGTTCAGATGTAAACTTGAATAGGTGTGTGGAAGTGGTGAGAAAGGATCAGAAATTTTTATTGAACAGTATTAAGTCAAGAATATGGAGAGCTGAATGATGTTTCAGAACCAAATTTGAAGTGCTACATCATACTTAATTGTGTCAATCAAGATTTAAATATCAATATAAATATGTTTAAAATGATTTCTTATTATCTGTTCAACTAGCCTGTCAACACTGAGCTTGCGAGTTCGAAACTTGCACATGGCAGGTGTGTTCTACTGAAATCATAGTTGCTTAAGATTGTCAGTTTTCCTGCTGATGGTCGATAGTTCTCTCAGGGCACCGTGGCTTCCTCCACCATAAAAATTTACCGGCTAGATATAGCCAATATTGCTGAAAGTGGTGTTAAATACCATCAATCAATCATACTGTTTGTTCAAATATATATAATGTAAGCATATACAACATCATCAACTTAAAGTGTATGAATTGAATATAAAATTAAGTCAATCATAAAAAAAAAAGAACGGATATTGTCCAGGATGGCCCCTAGAACCGGATTGAGTGAAGTTCTTTGGTAGATGTCGATCATGCTACATCTGTTCATTGAAGAACACAGCTGATAGGTAATATAAACAAATTATTAATTATATCTTGCAAAGATATCTAATGAAGACTGTCATAAAATGCCCGATCACCATAAACACATCAAGATATTTGTTGGACTTGTAGAAATTTTTTATGAATAGGGCTAGTAATTCAAAAGGACTACATAAGAATTTAGATAAGTTAAATGGTTGAAAGCTATGAATGAGGTAGCACACATATAAGAGAAATTAAGAATAAATATGTCATAATTTAAAAAAATATAAGAGCATACACAGATGATACACCTGAAGCATGGTGAAATTTTTTCCAGCTTTCATTATGCACACATAAAAAAAAATAACAAATGAACAACACTTTTATTGCTGTTCTTCATCTCAAAGTCATAATATATTGATAAGCACTAAGCTGTGCAAGACTGTGCAAAAGTGCTGTCAGACAGTTAGTATACCTAATCTTCTGAACATAACATTAGAAAAAACTTAGTGTGAGTAATTTCATCTTGCCTAGCTGTGTTCAGTTATCAGTTCATAAAAGTAATTACACAACTAATGGCCTTTTTTGTCAATTATCAAAGACCTACAGTATGTAGTTTGTAAATCTCCTACTGCTTAGTGTTTGAGACCAAGACTATATGCACAGGTCTTCATGTCTTTTTATGTATAGCAAATAATTCTAGTGTATTATTTTATGATCTCCATGTCATATGTGAGCTGTTTTGTTTGTGCAACAAGAACTTCATAAAAATTTTAAGAGCAATGATTGATTGATAGTTATTCAAGATTCAGTAGCAAGAGTACATGCATATTCATGACCATGTCTTTTTATTGAGAAATAATTATACCCTGCTGTGCTCTTAACTGATTTTAATATGCTTGCTCACAAGGTATCAGTCTGCAGAAAGACTTCCTCATACACATTATTCCTACTTTTGAGTCTTGTCTCGGACTCCTTAATGTCACATAATTGGCAAAGAAGCAAAAAATGCCAATTTTAAAATCTTTTATTTGACAAAGCTGGGATTGTATCTATAACTCATGACTTTTTGCGAGTAATCTACCATAAGATGAATGAGGCAGCTGCTTTAAAGATGAAGAAGTTAAGAGGAACAGCAATAAAAGCACAAGGTATCTAGTTTAAAAAATGTGTCTGATGACCCAGTCCGCCAACCAACATGGTCGACATGGCTAAAAATAGAACATGGGGGTAAAATGCAAGTTTTGTCTATTAACTTGAAAACCGCTATGAATAGAGAAAAGCTGGGATTGTATCTATAACTCATGACTTTTTGCAAGTAATCTACCATAAGATGAATGAGGCAGCTGCTTTAAAGATGAAGAAGTTAAGAGGAACAGCAATAAAAGCACAAGGTATCTAGTTTAAAAAATGTGTCTGATGACCCAGTCTGCCAACCAACATGGTCGACATGGCTAAAAATAGAACATGGGGGGTAAAATGCAAGTTTTGTCTTTTAACTTGAAAACCGCTATGAATAGAGAAAATCCAACCAGAACAGAAATGTTAAAAATGTTGAGATCTACCTGTTGTTAATTAATGTCAACATTGTCAGACGGCTTCTTATAAGAGGTGTTTCTCTTTAAGGGCTATTCCAGAAAAAAATGGGGGGGGTGTTGGAAGGCATTTTATATTAATAATACATGGGTGATGGGTATCAGAGCAACTTTTCACACTATAATGCACTATGATTCTCAATTACAATTATCTGGGTGGCAGGTGCTGAAACAAACTGCCTTCCAACCCAACCCCCCATACATTTTTTTTCTGGAATAGCCCTTATGATGATTTTTACCAATTTTTGATTCAGCCATGCTGGATCTATGCGATCACTCTGTTTTTGGAGATGGTGCAGAATACTAAGTTGAAGACATGTCATGAAACTAATTATGTGTTTTTATGACTTGCAGAAACTTTCTACACCATTTTAATCATCAACTGCCATCTTATGACATGTTATTTACCCTTAAATTAAGAAAAGATTGGTCGAACAACCCTTTTATTTTAGATATACACTTGCATATAGTTCCTTTGTAAATCAAAATTTATAATGATTTACTATTTATGAATTAATTTGAAAAAGTATTTTTACATCAATTGAATCAGTTGATAACAATTTTGAAAGTATTATATTATTATCTTATGCTTGTGTAAGTTTTTGTTCTATGAAATTTAGGTCAACATGTGTGTTAATATATCTAAGTTGATTCCCACACTTTTTTGAAATGGTATTATTCTAATTCTTTCCATAGGCAAGTCTGAGTCAGTATGATTATAAACTGTCATGATTTTCAAATAATTACACTCAAAGGTGTAAGTATTAATTGGAAACAACCCCAGTCTTAATTCACCACATTTATTATCTCATGACCTGTTACATAATTAAATAGGCACAATTTATTACACACCTAACTGAATACACACATTCTTAACCTCAGTAGTAAACCTACAAATGTATTATTTATTTTGATCTACACTACATTAAAATATTCTGTTAATTTTGCTAGCTAGCTGAATGATTAATCAGGCATGGTTTTTTTTCAAAGAAAAGACAAAAAATGTAAAAATATGTATAAAAAATGCAAGCAAATTTTATTTCACTTGTAAAATCATTGTCATTATCATCTGACATAAGTCAATGATCAAGATCTAATTTATTTGTTACAATTATCAGAAATTTGGTTGAAACAATAGACAAAATTGCATAACTCTTACCAGAGCATTTTCTGCAATAAAATTTATTTGTTTGTTCTGCATTTAACAGTAATTGGAAATATCTCAGCATTAGGTATTTGTACATTTAAATTTGAATACAGGAAATGTATTTTTTCTTAATGAAGAATGAACACCAATTTAGATAAAAATTAGTTATTATTTTTTTTCATTTTTGTTGTTGAGAAAGTGCATTTCCAAGGCCTTTTTCTGGAAATTATTAAGCCAGTTATTATTAATGGCATATAAAAAAATATATTACTTGTTTGACGATTTCCCTTTCCATTCATGTCAATACCATTAAATTGCAAATATTTATAAAAAAAAAATCTGACAGAGTCTAAAATTGAAATATCAATATATATATCATTATTTGCATCAATATTGCGAAATTCCCTACCTGTGGGCAATAACATAGAAATTTAACAGTAAGATTGGAAATGAAAAGAGAAAAAAATATTGAAAAAATATGGCCAGAAAGAATATCAGACTAGCTATGAATATGGCTGGATCACAACATCGACGATACTTTGATTTATGTTTTTGCCTAATATCTTGAAAACTATAATTGATAGATTAGAAACTTTAAAAGCCAAAATGACCTACAAAAAAGTCAAGATGGCCCAAATATTTAGTTGACTCCTTATTGAAATTATTGCCCTTTAATGACAATTTTCCTCAATTTTTTGCATTTTTACCTATTATCTTGAAAATTATAAAAGATAGAAACTTTAGATAGCAAAAATATTGACCAAAACAAGATCTACAAATAAGATATCATGGCTGAAAGCTATAGTCTACTCGATGATTTTTTAAAGTTTTTGCCTATTATCTTAATCTACAAGTATAATAGACACAAAATGTAGATAGAAACTTTAAAAAGCAAAAATCATCAGCAGGAAAAGATCATCAAAAACATCAATGTGACTGAAATTGTCAGTTATTGCCCTTTCATGATGATTTTTGTCTCGCCTGCAATATAGGGATTGCTTTTCCGGGACGATGACGAAGGTGTCAACAATTGTTAAGTTTTCTGCTTAAGTTAGTTTGATAGAAACTACTGGTGATAGATCATCGATATTTAATATAAAGTTGCATTACTATCAGTACATATCAGTTTGATGACTATTTTGAGGCCCTGCCCCCTAGGTCATGGTCCAGTGGCTTTGAATTAATTAGCAATTTTCAATGTTAAGTTTTCTGCTTAAGTCAGTTTGATAGGATCTACTTGTGATAGATCAATGATATTTTGTATGAAGTTGCATTACCATCAGTTCATATCAGTTTGATGACTATTTTTAGGCCCTGCCCCCCTAGGTCATGGTCCAGTGACTTGGAATTAATTAGCATTTTCCAATGTTAAGTTTTCTGCTCAAGTTAGATGGATAAGAACTACTTGTGATAGATCAATGATATTTTGTGCAAAGTACATAGGAGTTTGTCAACTATTTTGAGGCACTGCTCCTAAGGTCATGGTCCAATGACTTTGAATTAAAGTTTGATAGAAACTACATACAACAGACAACGATATTTTCTATAAAGTTACATTACTGTCTGTACATCTCAGTTTGTTTACCATTTGGAGGCCCTGCCTACAAGATCATGACCCAGCGACTTTGAATTAATAAGCAATGTTGCTGTTCACCAGATTGTCTTTTTCTGAACTTTATGCCGACAGGCGAGACATATCTCTGTGCCAACAGTTTATTACTAAAAAGTGGCTATTGTAGGGGGTGCAGGTGAGCGACACAGGATTTTTAATGCCTCTACAGTTTGTTGCAGAATGCAAGACATAGGGATTACAATCCAATTGGCAGGTTTCATCAGGCTTTGACTCATTTTCATGGTTCAGTGGTCAATGTTAAGTT